TAGAAGGCTTTATTGAAGAGGAACTGAACTGAACAGGCAAAAGATTGTAAGCAAAAAAGCTCCGACATAAAATGGCCTCCGCCTTATATATATGGTAGGGTAGAGAAGGTTCTGGAACAAAAGGTGGAGTTAAGGTGGGGCATGTAAATTATGACTATAAAGGAAAACATAGCCATACATGGTAATGCACCAAAAATCAACCAGTAAGAACACAGGTTTTACATACATCACAAATAAGGCATAATACATGAAAAGATAATATAATACACTATAAACAAGACATAAAATTCATGATTTCCCACTCCCGACATGTTACCATCTCCATTTTAAAAAAAGACCATATCCCTCAAAGAGGGTGGTCTGAGTCCACTGAGAAGACAGTGCTCTTGGAAGCGATGGATCAAAGCACTAAAGATCAGTCCTGGCAAAACCACTGCATTTTTCAAAACAAGTTTTGCCACTCTTTGCAGCACAGCCCTTCCTGACTTGTCTTACAGAGGGCAAGGGACCATGTGCTCACCTGCAAAACATTGCTGTCTCAGTACAAGTAGGGGCTGTTCCCAGCCCTGCTTAGCTCTCAAGACCTGGGCATACCAGAGTCTGAGGCAATATCATGAAGGCCTCTTATCTGTTCCCCTCCATCCCACTTGCTCCAGGTAAGCTGTGGTGTTCCCTTCCCTCCCCCTGGGAAAATGCCTCACTGTTCCAGTTCATGTTTGCTGACCTCTCTCTTAATAAGTGATTGATTAATCGAGTTGGTGAAGGGGAAGATACTGCAATACCACTGAGAGGAAAAAAAAAAAAAGATAACACTGGATCTTACCAATTCGCACTCTCCAGGAGCAGGAACTTCGGAAATAGCTATAAAGTATCGGCTGAGAAGAGAAGGACAGATAAAATGGTTATATTTTGGGAACACCAGAGTATTGTAAGGAGAAGAATGCATGAGCAGAAGGTATTTCAGGAACTGTAAGACAGGGAAGAGCAATGTTTGGGGAAGAGAGGAGTCCTTTCTCAAAATGGTTGTTCCTGATTTGGGCATCACTGTCTTTCATGATAAACACATGAAATAGACATGATAAAGACTCTAATAATTTAGTTGCACCTGATGTTTCCAGCAATGCACAAGTGACCTTAAAATTATTTCCTTTGTAGTTTCCCTCTTTGATGTCCCTATCTGATGTTGGTAACTTCTATACCATCTTAGATTTCTGAAACCAATTCCACTGATTGTGCCAACCACCTGCACTGGATATTTACATGGCATGAAACAGCTTTTTCAGCCTCACGGGGAAGGGCACGACCTCTTTCCAAACAAGAAGAGCTTCTGCTGTTTGAGATGAAGGCCATGAGGACAGACAATTCATCTCTACATGAACTATAGCACCAAGGCACCTTTCCCGGATGCTTCCACCCTGTTCAAGCTCTTACCTTTTCAGATGCCATGGTCAGTGTGTGCAGTCTACTCCAGGAAATAAAAAAAAATCCCTTTGTTTTCCCTTTTAACTCAGCTGGGATGGGGGAAGACTTTTCTCCTAAAATCAATGAGGAAAGGACTATGCCCCCAAGTCTGTGCCAAGGACACAAAAACCAGCCAGTCAGATTTCATCCTGAGTCACTGCACTCACCTCCTCCCAGCCCCCATACCAGAACTATTAACCAGATTTAAGCTTGGAAGCACATTTAGGAACTATCTTTATTTCCCTAGCATTTCATCCAGACATAAATAAGATATCTAGAGAGCCTCTCAGGCTGTCAGCAGCTGCCAATGCAGAAATATGTCCCTGGGGAACAAAACAAGGAAAGAAAAGCCACATGCAGAATTTCCATTTCATTAGGGAATGACTGCAAGCTCTGGGAACGACTGCAAGCTCCAGGAACAGGGGCTGCCTTTGCAGGGAGGTCCCTTAGGATGCTCCTGGAGCCCTTCTGCTGTCAGTGCCAGCCAGTGCAGACGGTTTTCTACATTGCAGGACTAGAAGCTGCTATTCTGCTCCCAGACCAACTTTGTGCAAAATACAAAGATTGCTTTTTTGTGTAACGGTCTTTTCTTTCCACACAGGAAACTGGTATTCATGTATGTCTCTAAATAAACCTGTAATCATGTCTCTCCTTCCTTCTATAGATCCCATGGCATGCCAGGGATCTCTCTGCATCTCTGCTCTCCCAGAATGCATAGAAATTATTCCAGAGACTGGTAGTAAGGCAGAAGAAAGCAGGGATTTGCCCTGTCAACAGAAAACCAGAGAGACACTGAAGATCCAGTCCTCTTTGTAACCCTGATGCTTCTCTTACAGTTTAGATTGGTTCAAATAAGTTTAAATGAGGTATGCCTTTGATTAAATTACTCTAGACAAATTTACTGGAAAATGGTTTATAAGTGAGGAGGGAAATGATGGCAGTATTGGCAACATTTTAGTGGACAGAGTATTTCCTGATTTTCTTAAATTCTCTGCTTCTGGGATCAGGGTATTAGAAATCTCAGCTATGCTTTTTTTTTTCCCCCCTAATGTCTAGCCTGCGGGGTTGCAGGGAAAGAAACAGAAACTGTGGCTTCAGAAGAGAAATATACAGCATTCATGACATAGTATTTTTAGTTATTTTTCCTGAGGACCTTGCAAATGATTTTTTGGCTCAGAAATTTATGTCCTTCACCACATCTATTTTGGACTCTGGCCTCTCAGCTGGTAGAGACATTTCTTCTGATTCTCTCTACAGTTCTTTTTTGTTTTTTGCAGCCTGTGCTATCATTTGGAATAAAGTGTACTAGCCTAATTGCCTTGCTTTATAATTTCAAGGCCCTTGGGGGATTTCACCAAAAGGAACATGGAAAACAACCTGTCATTCAGCTAATAACTGTGTGTCCAGAGGCTGGGGTCTGGACTGGTCTCTTGAGTTCATGCTGCTTTGCTCCCAGCAGCAGGGCAGATCACAGGCAAAAACAATCATCTAAGTAAAGATTAGAGACAGTAGGAGTGTTTTGTCCTCAGTGGACAGGTCCCACAGTGACACTGTATCTTTCTCAGAGGAAAAGCTGAGCAGGGCCAGGGAAGTATCAGAAAAGAAGTGCCTGCATTTAAAACCCCATGGGGTACAAGCCCCATAAGCTGCACATTAGACTGGCTGGAACTGGGATGGTAGAAGGAGAACAGCATTTGCTTGATGTCTACTGAGATTTCTGTTTTGGTTCTGTTTTCATTTCCAGCATCAGTGAGGAAAGTTTGGGCTTAAATACCAGAGTTAAAGTCTGGGAAATGCATTTCACTGTTGTGGAAGTTGGAAGAAACACCCCAAACTGTGTGTCGAGTTCTCAGGTTTCCATGCCTGTCTACTTCAGTATGGTCTGCTCTGGATACCACCTCTTTCTAGGCTATATTCGGGGTGCACTTGGGAAGGCAAAGTCTTTCACCTCTTTCCTGAGACCCATGACAACAAGCAGGCTGCACACATACGCTGCTCCTTGGGGGCTGGTGTAGGGGAAACCTCGGTGTCTGAAAGGCACCCCTTGTATTCTGCTGGGTTCAAATGTAAAGGTACAAGCAGAAACAACAGCTTCGCTCCTAAACTCTCAGTATCTCTGCGGCAGGCCTTGGTGTTAACAGTGCACGTGGATAAACTACGATAAGTAAACACCAATGCTTTGAGAAGCATTAGTTTTATTCAGCAAATTCCTTGCTCTCCACTGAGACAGAGACACCGGGGCAGCAGTCCTCCCGGGAATCGCCATGGCGGCCTTTCCGGGGAGCCAGGGCACCAGAAGCCGATTGCGGCCGCGATCCCTGCCAGCGAACCGAGCCCCAAGCCCGCTCCCTCCAGCTCTGGCGCCGCCATCGTCCCCGCTCCCCTCCCGCCCGGCGGGGACGCTCCGCTCCGCAGGGAGAGCGCGGAGCCAGCGCCGCGTACCTTGGCGGCGACGGCGCTCATTCCCGTCCCGGCCTCAGCTCAGAGCTCGGCAGCAGCCCGGGACTGCATTCCCGGGACTACATCCCCCGGCGTGCCCCGCGGATGCCCCGCCCTGCAGTCCGTGCCCAGGATGCGCCGCTCCCGGCGCGGTGCCGCGCGCGGCGGATCCCTGTGGATGCCGCCGCGCCAGAGGGAGCCCCGCCGGGGGCCGGGGGGACCGGGGCGGCCGGGCCGCCCCACCGCTCCCCCGGTCGCCGCCCGGTCGGCCGCGCTGGCCCTTGTCACCCTCCTCAGCTTCGCCTCCCGCTTCCACCGCCTGCCGGAGCCGCCGCACGTCTGGTACGGGCCGGGCGGGGCGTGCGCCCCCCCGTTCGGGCAGTGCCCGAGCCCCGGGGTGCGGGGGCGCGTGTCCGTGTCCGCCTCCTCCCGGGAGCAGCCGGCGGATTGCGGGCGGGTTGCTCCCTGACGCCCAGCCTGCGCCCCGGCCTTGCCCGGTCTGGGAGGGCCCCGTGTTTATCCCAGACAGGTGGAGGGACGGGACCCTGGCAGGGAGGGCCCCAGGGAAGCGCTGCTCTCTCTGGCCAGCCCGCTCCTCGACGCCGCTCTCGGGACGTGCTGCAGAGGGTCCTGGAGAGGCGGTTTTGTGGGACCGTGGGCGTCAGGCTGACTTCTTAACATCTCTGAGGTCAGCCTGGAATCAGAAGGGCAGACTAGAGATTTTGGAGTGCTGATGTCAAACTTTAAAAAAAGGGCCCATCCTAGAATGACTTAAGTATTTCCCAGTAAATGTAATGCATCATCTATATTGAAGGTGTGGCAGTAACCCTCTATATGATGAAAAGATGAAAAGACATTCCTGGATTTTTTTTTACTGTCTTCAGCATTATAGAATATGGGTTATTGTTAAGTTTTGTTTTGTTTGTGTTTTGTTGGGTTTTTTTTCCAGTTGGGATGAAACTCATTTTGGGAAGATGGGAAGTTACTACATTAATCGGACTTTCTTCTTTGATGTCCACCCTCCTTTGGGGAAGGTAAACTGCTTTTCTGTTACATATTTTAGAAGCCACAGGAGTGGGCCAATAAAAGTCTATTCTTGCCTTCTGGACGAAGGTTGTGATAAACTCCATTATCTTTCCTGTTGTTGGGCATCATGATAATTTGCATTCTCTATCCACAACCTTAACTTGCAACTTTTTGTCTTTACAAAAATACTTCAAATAAGGGAAAACTACAGTATTGCATGTTGGGTATTTGAAAGGCTTGAAATGAAAAAAATCAGTGTGGTACTTATGGATTGGAGGGGTTATGTCATAGCAACCTACATTTGAAAGGAAACAAACAACTTGTGATAACCTGTGTGCGAGTGAGATGCCTACCACAAAGGACCCTGAGAGCACTGATTTTCTATTCTGACTTGTTTTAGCAACAGTGTGTAGTGCTGATGAAGATGCCTCGACAAGGTTATCTTCCTTTCAGACTGAGTCTTCTGAACCTAAAGGGATAGGGAGCTATGGGAGATTCTAGAGAGACAGAATTGTCCCTGCTCAATCCCACACCTGCTATTTCTCTTTAGCTTGCAGTCATAGTCCATAGCCAAAATTGTCCTGATTTTGCCTTTAGACAAAGAGCAATGTGTTTGCATATGTTATCTGTACATAAACTCTTGTTTGGATGATATGTCTGAATTAAGTAGTTGTCCTCTGGATCAGTCTTGGCTTCTATAAAAATTTTACCTGCTGCTGGCTTCGGTGCTTTTTCCTCCAGTGCAAATTCCCTGACCAGTTTTTTTTTCACCTTTCCTCTTCAGATGCTGATTGGACTTGCTGGCTACCTTAGTGGATATGATGGTACGTTTCCTTTCCAAAAGCCAGGGGACCGATATGAGCAGCACAACTACATGGGAATGAGAGGGGTAAGGTTCTGCAGGCTAGTATTGAGCTGATTAGCTTTCCTGTGCTTTTCAATACAGAGGTTTATGTCATAAGAACAGCTCTCCTGGATAGGGTCGAGGTCTCTTTAGCCTGGAGACCTGTCTTTAAGCTCCTTAGAAAAGTGTCAGTGGTTCTTTTGTGAATAAGTCTTAATGCCTGGCTGTGAGAGTTCGGGTAAGAAATTAAGGTGATTATTGAGGCCAACTCTTGCTGCTAGTAAGTGAAACTACACTCCTGTGTGGGACAGATATCTTGCCTGTTCTGCCAAGCAAATGTTGCTGAACTTGGGGTTCTGTCACTTCATTGTGCCTGGCTGCTCTGCTGGGGAGCCAAGGATGTCAAAAAGCCAGGATCATCCACTATCACCTGCAGTTTGGCACCACCAGGGAGCTGAGTAAACTGATGGAGCCTGCAGCAGGGGGGCAGAATTTAGACTTGTATTCATCTGAAACCCTGGCTGTACTGCTATCTAGGAAGACCAAGAGCCATATAACTGACAGCAGATAAGACAAGCTAAAAGAAGAAACAGCATCCAACTGTTAGTACCTAGAAAGAAGAGTAAATCTTGGTTTAGTTTCCAGCAATTTGTGCTGCTTGCTTTTCTTTTGATTTCTGTTCATTCTCCTTCAACTATCCTTGGTCTCATTTGTGTAAGGGAGGTGAATCTGGTCTGGTAAAGACATAAGGTGCAGGTGTATTTTGTTCTTAGATTTCATATTCTAGTATCTTGTTAAAATAAGTGGAGTATAGTTGATGTGTAGTACATCTACTTGACCAGTCTTTTTATGAATATCTAACGTAGTCTAGCAAGAGGGTGACTGACTGTTGTTCCTGACACCTCTACAAGCAAAGTAAGTGTCTGTCCTCTAAACAGTGTCTTTCTTCAGTTGGCTTTTGTCCAATATTCTTAGTGACTCAGTTCAGCGACTGTGACACCTCCTGTTGTTGGTAGGTGTGGAAGATGAAGGAAAGGAAGGGGTGTGAGCACTTGTTCATCTTATGGAGGGTTATAACTTCTCCCATGATCTTCTTTTCCTGCAGTTTTGTGCGTTCCTTGGCTCCTGCCTGGTTCCCTTTGCCTACCTCACAGTGTTGGAACTGTCAAAGTCACTGCCAGCAGCCTTACTCACAGCTTTCATCCTTATTTTTGGTAGGTGTTTCTGCTACAGGAAAATTGAGTAACCTGACTGTTCAGATAACTTAATTTCTGGATTATCATGTGTTACCTAACCAGTGGATATTTGGGTTAATGAGAGACCTTCTCAAAGGCAAAGTAATTTCACTTTATATATGCATATATGAGGCTTTTTAATTGGTGATCCTCTTAAGAATATTGCAGTCTTGTTTAGTTCATAGCTACTTCTGTTATTTGCATAACCACAGCATTAGACTACATTTCACCTCAATTTTAAGAATTTTTGTAAGATGTATGGTCAGGAATGATTTTGCACACCAGTGATGTCTCCCATATGAATTATATGAATTATAGAGATATTTAACAGCCTCTGTATTACTACGGAGGAGTTCACAGTAAGAAATGGATAGAGTTCCTTGTTGAATTGAGCCAAATGGAGAAATTAACATTGCAAACAGAGTTACCCAAATTGGGGTTTTGTGGGGGCACACAGATATTAAGGCATGGAGACTTAAAATACCCGAGTAATATTCATTTCTTATAGGTCCAGTTTGAAAGATGACTTCTCCTGTAGCATGCTCTGGCACAATGCTGGTGCCCTCGGTAGATCGTTGCTGTCTGTAATGCTCTCCATTTGAATATGTTATCAGCACTTTCCAAATGGTGTTTCACAGATACTGTTGTACTGCCTGTTTTTTGGTTCTGTTAGGTTTTTTTCTATTTTTTTCCCAAGTAAAAGTTGAAATTTTCTTATCTCCTTCTGTTTCTAGAATTTCCTTCTCCTTGTCTTGACTATGCTCAGGAAACTGACTTCCCACAATCTTAGATTCGCTTTGGAACTGCAAGCCTTTTTGACATTGTTGTGTGTCTCTCTGCAGATACAGGCTGTATTACTTTGTCACAATATATTCTGCTGGATCCCATTCTGATGTTCTTCCTCATGGGAGCTGTTCTGAGTATGGTAAAATGTAACAGCTGTGCAGATAGGTAAGATAAAGATGATAATTTTGTAAAACTATAGGTATTCAACTTTCACACAGATAAAGTACTAGAACATGTCCGCCATTGGTAGTCTGGGTGAGTGGCTGAAATCTGATTATTTCAGGAAATTTGGAGGTGAAAATGGCTGTTGGTAGAGGAGAGAAATTTTTAGTATAAGTTTTTTTTGTAACTAGGGAGAAAGTATTGTGACTGGGGTACACCAAGAGAGAGGCTTAACCAGATTATTTTAGCATGAAGGGAAATTCTTTATTGGACATGGGCGGGAATATAGTTATCAAAGATGAGGAAAAGGCTGAGGTATTTAACACCTTCTTTACCTCGGTTTTCAACAGTAAGACAAGTTGTCCTGAGGACAGCTGGCTTCTGGAGCTTGTAGAAAGAGATAAGAATCTGAATAGCCCCCCTGTAATCCAGGAGGAAACAGCGACTTGCTGAGCCGCTTGGACCCCCACAAGTGTATGGGACCAGATGGGATCCACCCAAGGGTGATGAGAGAGTTGGCAGAAGAGCTCACCGAACCACTCTCCATCATCTACCAACAGTCCTGGCTCACTGGGGAGGTCCCAGATGATTGGAAGTTGGTGAATGTCACGCCCATCCACAAAAAGGGCCGGAAGGAGGACCCGGGAAACTACAGGCCCATCATCCTGACCTCAGTGCCTGGCAAGGTTATGGAGCAGATCATCCTGAGTGCAATCACACAACACCTACAGGATGGACAAGGGATCGGACCCAGCTAGCACGGGTTTAGGAAGGGCAGGTCCTGTCTGACCAACCTGATCTCCTTTTATGATCAGGTGACCCTCCTGGTGGATGAGGAGAAGGCTGAGGATGTAGTTTACCTGGACTTCAGCAAGGCCTTTGACACCATCTCCCACAGCATACTCCTGAAAAAGCTGGCAGCCCACGGCTTGGACAGGGGCACTCTGTGCTGGGTCAGGAACTGGCTGGAGGGCCGGGCCCAGAGAGTGGTGGTGAACGGTGCTGCATCCACTTGGCGGCCGGTCACTAGTGGTGTCCCCCAGGGATCAGTGTTGGGCCCAGTTCTGTTTAATATCGTTATTGATGATTTAGATGAGGGGATTTAGTCCACCATCAGCAAATTTGCAGATAACACTAAGTTGGGGGCAAGTGTCAATCAGCTGGAAGGCAGGAGGGCTCTGCAGAGGGACCTGGACAGGCTGGAGAGTTGGGCTGATTCCAACGGGATGAGGTTCAACAAGGCCAGTGCCAGGTCCTCCACTTTGGCCACAACAACCCCAGGCAGCTCTACAGGCTGGGTTCAGAGTGGCTGGAGAGCAGCCAGGCAGAGAGGGACCTGGGAGTTTGGATTGACAGGAAGCTGAACATGAGCCAGCAGTGTGCCCAGGTGGCCAAGAAGGCCAATGGCATCCTGGCCTGTATCAGGAACAGTGTGGCCAACAGGTCCAGGGAAGTGATTCTTCTCCTGTACTCAGCGCTGGTGAGGCCACACTTCGAGTACTGTGTCCAGTTCTGGACCCCTCAGTTCAGGAAGGATATTGAGGTGCTGGAGCAGGTCCAGAGAAGAGCAACGAGGCTGGTGAAGGGACTCGAGCACAAGTCCTATGAGGAGAGGCTGAGGGAGCTGGGATTGTTCAGCCTGGAGAGGCTCAAGGGAGACCTCATCACTCTCTACAACTACCTGTGAGGAGGTTGTAGCCAGGTAGGGGTTGGTCTCTTCTCCCAGGCAGTTGTCAGCAAGACAAGAGGGCGTGGTCTTAAGCTGTGCCAGGGGAGGTTTAGGTTAGATATTAGGAAGAAATTCTTTACAGAGGGAAATCAGGCATTGGAATGGGCTGCCCAGAGAAGTGGTGGATTCTCCGTCCCTGGAGGTGTTTAAGATAAGACTGGATGTGGCACTTAGTGCCATGGTCTAGTAACCACGGTGGTAGTGGATCAAGGGTTGGACTTGATGATCTCAGAGATCCCTTCCAACCTGGCTGATTCTATGATTCTGTGATTTCAACAAAAATAGTTTATGTAGTTTTTGAAACTGCAAATCTTGAACATGAAGGTTAAACGTTTTAAAACTTCCAGGAAAGAAAGCTAATAAAAGATGCTGTAGGTCAGAGAAGGATGGTTGTAGCTTATTCAAGGTTTTGGTCCTTAATGGAAAAAATATTGTTATTTTGAACCAATTACTTTGATTCCAGGCTAGAGAAACACAGTTTGTCTGTGACTGTAATCCTATAAACACTTATAAAAATCCTGCTGTCTGAGGTAAATAGTATAATTTGTTTAGTTTAGAGAAATTGTTACAAAAACTTTGAGGGAAATAGAGCCAGGATGTTTCTGAATAAAGTAGTCAAGTTGCTGAGGATATTTGCCATAGACCCATCCAGAGGGGGATGGTGATTTCTAGGTATTGGTATATACCAAAAGGCTTCTTTATGGCTGGGCTGCACAGAGTAGTTTCCCCACAATGCATCCAGAATTCAAAGAAACAAAACCTCAGAATACTGTGTTATATGTGAGCAATTTTTATTTCATGAATCGTTCCAAGAACTGATCATATCAATCTTAGTGTGACTACAGTGCACATGGCTAAAATGCAGCCCCTAGCGTCATGTAGGCCACGGCCATCCTCATCTACAACACATACCCCAGGGAGTGCAAGCACTAAGTTACAGGGCAGCCCTTGATCAGCTCTGTGGGCTTTGACCTGAACTTATTTTTCATATGTTACAGCTAATCCTCTTGTCAAAGTAGTTGATATCATGCAAATTAAACGCCAGCTCTCTAGCTATTGTTTTGCTTAGGTCATGGGGATTCAAAATGCAAACATCAAGGCATTAGGAGCTGGTAGGAAAAAAGGTTTTAAATTCTGCTGTCATCCTTTCTCATCTCTTCTCAGTGGTTCAATTTTATTTCAGTTTCTAATTTGTTTGCTTTTTGCTGCAGCTTTTGTTTGTGCTTCAGATAGATGTTTTCCACTATGGCCTTCCTGCTTTAGTAATGGTGCTCTTTTTCTCCTGTTCTCCCCTGTGTCCCTAGCTTTTTGTCAGAAGTAAGTTTATGGAGCAAAAGTCTTGTTTCCTTTTTCATAACTTCTGTGTGGTCAGACTTTCTTCACACTAGCATTTTAGCTTATACCTGGTGTCTATGTTTCCATCCTCAAAGGGGAGATCTAGGAATGTCCTGGCTTAAGTGTTGGACCCTTCTGAAGCCTGTATAAAGGTTTCACAAGCCTGTATCTGAAGACAGTATCCTTGCATGATTCTAAAATTAATGAAAAACTAGTTTTTCTATTCCTCTTGAGAAGATGGAGTGTAATTTTGCAGGATAATTTATTTGCTGTTTATTTTCGTGATCGCAGATGCCCGTTCCTGTAGCCGTCATTTTGTTTACTGACTTTCTGCACTGGTTGGTCCTGCAGGCCATTCTCTGCCTCCTGGTGGTTCTGGCTGAGTCTGACTGGCGTGAACCTTGCTGGAGCTATGGGGGTAAAGTTTGTTGGCCTTTTTGTAGTCCTCTTGGTAGGCCTGAACACAATCTATGACCTATGGGACTTGCTGGGGAACCTTAGTCTGTCACTGGTGAGTTTCAAAGGCTTTTCTTTACTTTGTTTCTTGGTTTTGTTTGCTTTGTAATTCTCCCGTCTTTGACGACCCTGTAACTACTCAGACAGTGATACTCTGTGCAGCAAAAAGGGGCTTCTGATGTGGATGACAATAAATAAAGATTAAGGTTATAATGAAAAAACTATTGACAGACTTCTGAAAAAAAAACCAAACAAACAAACTTACATTAGCAGGATATAGTGTCATAAGAGCACAGCAAAAAGAATGTTCCTTTTTCCTTAGAGAAACTGTTACCTTTCCAGTTGGATGATTTTTCAGTCTAAGCTAAAAATGCTCATTGGGAATGGCTTTAAAATGGCCCAAAGCAAGATGTTGTCCAACACTGTTACATGAGCTTCTGAGGAGTATGTGCTACCTGGCAGACAGGCATGTCTTGCAGCACTTGGTTTGCATAAGCAGCGTGAGCTCAGGCTCTGCTTTGTGAGAGTTAAGGGGGCATAGGCCGCAGAGCAGGAACATGCTACCCATCAGGAGTCATAGAAATGCTCTGCAACTTACAATATACATAGCCAGTCCAGAGGATGAAGGCGGCCATACTCTCCTTGATTTCACACACATTTAGTTCCTAGAAGCTTTAAAAATTTGCTAGTGAGTTTGAGCGCCCTGTCCTAATATATTCTATTTTACGTTTGCGGACTGTGAAATCTGCTTTTTTGGAGAAACACCTTGATGTACCATTTGCTGTCTTGCAACCAGCAGGAAAATTCTTCAGTCACGTCTTTTAAAAGGTGTTCAGTTCTCCTCTTGTCTCAGCCTCTTCTGAAGCTTGAAAATTCTACTTTTTTCACTTACTGTTTTTGTCTTGTTTGTCTCATACAGTGAGGGTTTTGAGGGACTTTTTCTATTCCCGCTGTGTGATTTGTTTTTCTTTGATTAATGTGAATCAATATGGGCTGCAAAGATGCAATGTTCCAACTCTGGAGAAGCACTTCTTGAGCAAAGTCACTTAATTGCATTTGAAACAGAACAAATCCATCATGTCTATGCTTTCTGCCAGCAGACGGCTGCACAGTGATTTCATTTGTATTGCTGGAAGCAAAGGCAGCAAACCCCTGAGTGTTACACTATATAAAGAAATTTACTCCAAAAGGTAGATACTTTCTGAATAGCTATTTGTCAACCTTGGTGCTTGATGAGAGAGGAAAAAAAAAGTGAGGATTAAACTCCTGAAAGGCTGAATAACTTAATCTCTGCATTTGTTAGGAAGCTACTCATGATTATTTACAAGCAATGTTTTTGGGACTAATTTGATTTCTAGAATTCTCAGCTTATCTTGGTCTACTCTTCTGGTTTGCTCAATGCTGTCTTTCACGTGCATTTTCTTTTTGACTTTGCATTGAAGTCTATAGTTAAAGAAAACTACAGACTTCAGTGCAAAGTCAAAAAAGAAAAATGCGACGTCAGAAAATTTTCATGAAGATTGAAGCATATTGAGGCTGTTTTAAGCAGGCAATTGCAGATTGGTTCATGTACCTCTCCAGTGCATAAACATGGCTATGTACCATCAGTCAGCATTTTTGGAAGCGTCCAGTGGTTATTAAGTGTTCTGCTGGAGTACATGAGCTTAACAACTCTTTCCTTTGTTGACTTCAATGAGTTCTTAGTTTTGTAATATGTTTAGTTCCTTTTCCATTACTTCTGAATTTGTTGGATCTGGTATTTAGGGATGGAGAATGAATAGCTTAATGATTGATTGTGTGATAGCTATCATGTAAAAAAATATGGAGAATAGCAAGTACATCTGCTTTCATCCACTTTGAAGTTAGTGTGGACATTTAGCAAGCAATTTTTGCTATTTTACTTGCTTTTTCTTCCACAGCTATTTATTATCCACCCTGTGTTTTACGTTATTTACTCTACTACCGGTAGTGTTAGTGGGATATGAATAAATAATGCTTGGGCATCTGTGTAAAAAACATCTTTTTAAGTGATTAAAATAAAATACTCTGCTTTTATGTTGAGATAGCTGAAACAGATTTTGCTGATGACTTTTCTGTAGCTTCTGGCTAAGCAGCAACAGAAGTTGCAGTGTGAGAACATCCTTGCTAAGCAAGGTGATTTCTGTGACTGAAGCATATCTAAGTCCCCAAGAAGTCCTGGTTACATTCACATTTGCATAGAGAAACTTTCTTGGAGAACAAGTTTTCATTTTCCCTTTTGCTTAGCTTTGACAGTTACTATTTTGGAAGCCATCTCTTTCCTGTGATTTTGTGTCAAGATGTGTACCACTGATAAACAAGTTAAGGTCCTTGTTTTCAAAGTATTTTCAACGAGAGCTGCCCAACCTCATTTGCCAAAGTTAGGGATGCTCAGCACTTTGCGACGTTAAACTCTCCTATTGCCTGTTTTTGTCTTTTTTCCCAAGACCCTGAAATTTCAAGGTACCATAAGTACAGCTTTGGGAGATAGATTGCAAGGTCTGCCTCAGCTTTTACTTCTCTCTGGGCCTTGTTGAGGTAATTCTGCAGCCTCCTGAGCTTGCTTGTATGTCAAGCTCCAGCTTTAGGACCACTACTCAGAGTCCTGTGAAGTAAGGAGAGGAATTGTTCCTGTGGCTGCACTGTTTGATCCAAGTTGTGTTTGTTACAGGTGATGTTTGGAAAACATTTACTGGCTCGTGTACTTTGCCTCATCGTGCTCCCACTTGCTCTCTACACGGCTATGTTTGCTGTTCATTTTGCAGTATTAAATAAAAGGTATTTCACAATGTTTTCTGCAGAAGAAGAGTCACTTGTTTTTGCTTTTAATTAAAGGCTATTGATTATGTATTTCTCCACTTTCAGTGTCAGAAGCACGGCCACAAGCTGTGTCTTTGTTTAATTTCCTTCCCAGACTTCTGCATTGTTCTTACGGAAAGGCTCTGGCCAAGCTGGCAGTGAAACTGAATTTTAATTTGACACTTTCTGAAATGCCAAGCAAGTAACCTAACCAAACTCTCTGTCTTCTTTTTTTTCCCCTTCTCTTTCCTGGACCTGAAAATGTCTCAACTTCATTCTTTGTCACTTTGTAATTAAAAAAAAAGTCATTGCATTCCTGAAAAATGCTTTGGCTGTGATGACAAAAGTAAGGCTGAGTGTGCCCAAAGGGATGGCTCTTCTCTGAGTGCCTCCAACCAAGGGATGCTTTTTATATGCAAAGAGCACAACAGCTAGTAAAATGGCCAAGTAATGTTTTCCATATACCAGCATTAAGAAATGAGGTGAATATGCATTTCACTATAAAAAAATAATTTAAGATTAAATCTGTTATTTTTCAGTTAAAGTCAACTGATCTTACCATTAACTTCTTAGCAGAAATAAGACTAAAAGAGCTACAGAGAGAGGCTTTGTTATATGTATCCTGACAGTTGGTCAGTTTATTTGTTGTAAGAACACTCAAAGATAGGTATGGTGCTTTTATGCAGTGCCAGCAGCTACATTTTTGTGACCTCAAGTCCTTGCAGCTCTGGACAATTTCCTGCAAGACTATCTCTCTGCTATGATTCACAACATTAGAGGTGCATCTAAGGGAACTGAATTCATTCTTCTTCTGATGTCCTGTCTGCTTTTGTTGTTTTTCCTCTGTAAAAACAATTTGGTAATGCATGACAGAGATTTGTGTGCTTGTTTATCTGCATTCTGAATTGTCACATTCTTTGCTGTCTTTTGTAGTGGCCCTGGGGATGGTTTCTTCAGTTCAGCATTTCAGTCCCAGCTGATCGGGAACAATCTTCATAATGTCTCCATTCCAGAGCGTGAGTGTCCAAACGAATAAACCAGTCTGAGTGTTGTCAATATACATGGGGATTTAAATAAAATGGCATCTCCTGTGACTCACTGCAGGACAGTGCAGATTATGCCTTCATGGTTGTGCTTAGATCTATGCTGTTCCTCTGGGCAGTTTTACGTATTGACAGAAAAGAAGGCGGCTGTGTTCAGTGCATGGTCACTAGCTGTTTCATCATATTCCTTCAAGAGGGAAAGATGACATTTTGAGGGATTTGACTGTTTTGTGTGCATGCATTTTGTTATTTTTTGGCCTTAATATTGCTCGAGACAACAAAAATATATTTGTCCTATTCACCATAAGTTTGTAAGATATTCAGATGTGGGATTTGTTTTCAAAACATGTGTAAATGAAAACTATTGGGTTCTTTGTGACCCAGTGTGCCCCTGGTCCGGTTGTATTCTATTCAGCATGCATGTGAACTTATGGGAAAGATGGCTCTGTGATTGTTCCCTAATCCTCATCTTGCCTAGGGACTACTGAGCCTTTAATCTGGTTTAACTGTTTGACACTTCGTCTTTTCTCTGGCTGTTCCCTGCTCCAGAACTGCTACTGGAAGAGCATCAGGTCCATTCTCCAAGACAGAGTTCTCTCACTTGTGTTGGGAGGCTATGAAGGAAGGTGTCTTAAGCCAGGGTATCAGCTCTGCTATCTGATAGCTCAGCTTGCCTTCCTTTCCTGTTGTATTGCCGTAGGGGTCAGCGATGAAGCGCTTCAAACTAGTCATGTGCTTTTTAAACTTGATCATGTTTTAATTTCATCATATACTCTTGGAAAGCCATCTCAAGCCTCCCATTATTGAAATTACATACAAAAGAACTAGCACTTCTGTTTATGTTAAAACTCATTGGGAGAGTTTTAAGTGTTTAAGCCAAATGTTATATAACAGTTTCACTGAACTGTGGTTGAAATGGAAGGCAAGCTTGCAATGAGCCCTGTGGAGTAACACGTCAAACAGGAAACAAGCTTCATCAAAACGGACAGGACAATGTACGTCTGATTGGAGCACTGTAGACTAGCTGGGGGAGATACTTAGAGGAGAGCTGCCTTATGCCTTTTTTCCTCCTTCCTTCTCATGCAGACTTGGCATATGGGTCTGTGATCACAATGAAGAACCTTCGTATGGCAGGGGGATACCTTCACTCTCACTGGCACCTCTACCCAGAGGGCATTGGGGCCCGCCAGCAGCAGGTCAGTGTGCTGTGGTCATATTGCCTGTGACTGCAACGATTGGCTCACTCCCTTTGCATTTAGCATTAGGGGCCAATGTGACAGGAGCTGTGTATTTATTTAGCATCTGTTACCCCCTCAGTGCCACAGCTGTGTGCTTGACCTGGAAGTCTGACTAAAAAGGCTTGAAGAGAGCCTACCACATTGCACCAGAGAGGTGACTTACAGTAATAAGGCCTTGCTGCAATGCAAGACCACTGTCCATAAATGGAGGCCAAGAGGACTTCAGAATAGTCTTCCATATGAAAGTTACCTCAAGGAAGGCTGTAAAACTTACGTTTAAAACAAATACATTATGTTATAGATTTTGTTGCTTTATATTAAAAGCAAGGGACTAGAACTGTTGTGTATTGTTTTTACTCCAGCCTCTGGTCTCTGTGACCTTACATGAATTCCTCTCTTTTGTACCTTGCTTTCTGTATGTGTTGCCAAAGAATTTGTAAGGCTTTGCTCATTAAATTAGATATCTGTACATTTGTAAGCTAATGTAGCCATAATGAAAGTATCTGAACTGAGGGCTTCTCATTAAATGATTAAGCAATAAGTGAAAGTAGAAATCAGAAATCACGTAACTATCCCTAGATAAATAGTACAAAAATTAAGTAAATTTCTTATTTTTGTCCATCATCATCAAGCTTCACAAATCTTTGCAGCTTCTGCACCTTTCCCAAGATATATTTTACAATTGTTCTGAGCTCCTTGAAAGAAAGTTGCCAGAGAAACACAAGTGTTTGTTTTTTAACTCCCTTCTGTCTCTGTGGTGAGGAGGAAGTTTTCAGAAGTGACAGCTTTATCTCAATCTTCTGCTGTTTGTCACAATGAAAATTTCTAATACTGTCATGTAACATTAATGTTTATTACAGTAGATGGAGATGTCATACCAAAACTGGCTCAAGTATAGGCAAAATTCAAGTGCATAGCATGCAGGGAAGGGGAATTTGAAGAGGACACTAATGGGAGTTCCTTGAGGAAAGTGGGAAAGGGTGGAGATTTCCCCCCTGTGCTCCCTGCCGTGGTCATAGGACAAGGGTAGGATTCTGGGAGAGTCTTGGGGCTCTGGAGAGGGGAAGAGAATTTAGAACTTGGAGATTTAGGGAGGAAAAAGTGATCTCTTTGCCCCTACCTTTCCCTCGTCTCCTGATGGCTTAACCTCAAGGTATGAGGTTCTACCTCCAGCTCTCCCTTTTTACCTCACCCTCACACACTCGTCTGTGTTCTCTTACCCACCCACTGGGACATCTGCTCCCATCTGAGTGGGAGGCACAGATCTGGGTCTGGGCTAGGGTCCCACAGAGCAGGGCTTGCTGCTGCTGGAAGAGGAGAATGAGCCAAAGGGACTCAGTTCCTCATGCTGTGGGGGCAAGCATCCTGGAATAAGATGGTCTCTCATGTCCGTGGTAGCAGTAGGCGCAGTTACTCTGTGTGAGGCTGAGCAGGCTGGCAAGGATTAGCTGTGTAGCATGTGCAGCTCTAACGGCTGATCCCTGAATCTTACCTTGCCTGGATCTTTTGGAAGAAGTATTATGGTTGTCACAGCCTATTGTCATGCATCTCTGCTGTCTATAAAGCCAGTGCTGCTTCCATCTTCTGGTTCTGGTCAGTGATTATTCAAGAGTTCAGGTGTGAATATCCTGTTGTTGTAGAAGGACTCATTGGAGTGAGAGGAGGTCAAACTGTATGGTTGGAGGCTGTTACTCATGATGCCTGTGAACCATAAGTGTTGTGCTTCTGAGCATATGGGCTGTACACTGGCTAAGAGGGGTGATCTGGGTTAAAGAGTGGCCCCTAACTGACTTTCTAGGGGGCACAATCATAAATGTAATCCCAGGATTTCTGTGTTATTGGTCCATTCATTTGGGACTTCAATTTGCTGGTGAATGTGCGTCTGCTATCACCAGCTTTTTTCTTGTTTTGTAAAATAATAATTGCTGTCCTTTCAGGTCACTGCCTACTTACATAAAGATTTGAATAACCTGTGGATTATAAAGAAACATGATTCAGATACAGGTAACAAATACCAGTGAAGTGCCTTTTATAACTACTGCTTCAGTTTTTCGCATAAATATTCTGAGTTCCCTCCAGGACAGAGTATCCTTCATGGAAGTGAGAGGGAGAGGAGGAAGAACAGGGGGAAGCTGTCTCCATCTTGACTTATGTTGTGTGTGTCTACTGAGTTTTTGGTTCTTCTCTAGATTGTACAGTTGAAATAAATTAGCTTTTCTCAGCTTAAGGTTGCATTGACAATTTTTCAGCTGGGTAGGGCCACAATAACAGCAGAGAGGAAATTAGTCTGACCTCAGTATTTTTTGCAATCTGTTATTGTGGAAGTTGGGTCCTGGTACATTCTGGTACACTGTATTTAACAGATTTTTGGGAATGATTGCTTGGGACAAGATAAGTACTGAACATGACACTCTATGGTTTGTATGTACATCTGTTTTAGAATATTACCTAGTGTAGCTAAGGCATGTTTTCCCTGTCAGTTTCCTTTTTTTTTACCCACCACCTGTGTATCCACACAAAGTTGTTTGCTTGTATTGTCTGCTTCAGGCATGAGCATTAACAAGAAACTTTCTAGGTTTGTCAGGACATTGATATAATTAGTTTACCTTCCTTCAGCAGATCTGTCAGACCCCTTGAGCCCTGTGGAGTTTGTGAGGCACGGAGATATTATTCGTCTGGAACATAAAGAGTAAGGATGATTTCTGGGATTCAGAAATTACATGATTGAATAGAATTGGTGGGAGATTTGTCCTGCTGGAGACAATGTGGTTAGGCCAGCACAAGCAGGCTGTGTGACAGAGGTATCTGTATATCTGCATTTCCAGTGTGAGGTTTGTAGAGTTTTTTTTCTATGGTTTATGTTTGAAAGGTGTCTTAAATAGGAAACTTTTAATGGAACAACACAACTTTATTAGAAATACCTGTGTAAGCAGCAGAGATATTTGTTCTGCTCTATGAGGTGTGATACTCAGGGGTAAGTAACTCTTTTGCAGAGAAGCAATTTTGAAACCCTCATTGGGTGTGGGCTTGTGCCCACTCTCTGAGTTTTCTAGGCAAATAAAGAGTGAGGTGGGTTTTTTTTGGTGTACTGCAAGTGTCCTGTTCCTACATGCATAGGCAGTATCCACCTGCTGAAGTTCTGAACAGCACTGAGATCACAGCAGTGAAACACTGAATGAAAATGTCAGCTGGTGCCTTCCCTCTCTGCAAGGAATACCTAAGAGGAAGGAAGTCACCCTAGTGACTTGATATATGGTTTTTGTCTAGTCTAATATCACTGTGCCAAAATGCCTCGTGCTTTCACAGCTTTGATTTCATAACAGGACCTCAAAACTTGTGAGCCAGGAAATCACGTCACGTTGTATTCAGTATGGCATCTGCACAAATAATTGCTTAGGTTTCCGAAATTATTATAAGACCATTTTTTTAAGTTCCTTGAATTTTGGGGTTTACTATCAAGTATACGATAATGAGTATGATAAAAATTGATTAGGCAAAATTGGTTAAGTCGTGGTGAGGTCTCCAGAGCAGGAGGTGAAGCAGCGGTGCTGCGGAAGAGATGCAGCAGGTGGCGCTCGTATTTAGGACTGACTGGGATATGGCCAGGTTTCTCTGGTTGCCTCAGTCACCAGTCTGCCTGGGGGGGAGCCTGGCTACCTGCACCGTGCTAATGGTGGCCACTGATTCCCCCTAAATGGTACAATCTTTCTCCTCAAAAGCAAAACTGATTACAGAAGGTCAGGATCTTGCTTTTCTTCTTACAAGAGCAAGTCTGTTTGTCCCACCTTTACTGTTAAAAAAAAAAAAGTCCACAGCAAAACAAAAACCCAACGTCTTCTCCACTTGGAGGTGATAGATTGTAGCTTGAGGGTTCTGTTTGTTCATGCTGTCATCCTTTTCCACAATGCCTAGTGTGGCATAAGCTCAGAGTTACATGGTGGGAAGTGACAGATGCGATCAGTGTCCCCCATCCTGTTTAGGCTGAATCCTGCCTGCCCTCAGCTGGAATTCGGTGGTTAGAGCAGTGGCTGATCTCTGAATGACTCAAACCAATGTTCTAATTACAAATTGACAAGGTTCAAAAGTTTTAATTTCATTTCAGAACTTCTAGAAATCTGCACAGTCACCAACATGAAGCTCCCTTGACGAGGAAGCATTTTCAGGTCACTGGCTATGGAATAGTAAGTGAAGGCAAGATAGAAGAAAAGCTCCTTTTAGGGAGAGTTCGTATCATGCCAAGGGGATTTATTGTTGTTTTTTTTAGTTTGTTAGCCAAGGTGATAGATGGGCATCTGCCATCCTGAAGGAAAAACTGATTTAGTGTGAAATGGCTTATCTCATATTTAAAGTCTATTTAATGTGAACACAGATAAAAACATAATTTAAACTTTTACTGCCAGTCTAGCTTTGGCAGCATTCAACTCCAGAAATGACAAACTGAGCAACCTTGAAGTTGCTCTGACAAGTATTATTTTATGTATTTGGCCTTGTCACATAGACAAGTACCTTTTTGAAAGAATGATGACAGAATTTTGAATCATGAAAATGAAATCTGCTTTGCGGGTTGAATTTCTAAATGCAAGGATCTGTTGCCTAAACCCCTTTTATGAAGCAGCCAAGTTAGCCCTGTTTATGCTGTAGTTCTGAGCCACAGTCAAGCATGAATTGGAAGAAAAAAAACTAAAGTTGGCAAGATAAAGATGTATTTGTGAATGCTTGCTCATGTCTAGAATGATGTCCTCCAGATGGGGAATCTCTTCTGTGAAGTCTGAGTGAGAGTAGTCTGGGCTCGTTTGTTTAGCTTTGCCACCATTACAGTTTCTGAATTTCTTATTTGCAGTGCTTCAGTTCTGTATGTTTTCTAGTTTGGGGGGGGAGTTGTTTGGGGTTTTTTTTTTCTGTTTTTGTGATTTTTTTTTTTTTCTGCAATGCTATGTTTGCATGATAGAATGGAACAGGAGACTCCAATGATTTTTGGCGGATTGAAGTGGTGGGCAGAAAGACTGGGAAGCTCATCAAAGTCCTACGGAGTCAGATCCGGTTAATCCATGTGGCCACAGGGTGTATATTGGGCTCTTCTGGAAAGACTCTGCCAAAATGGTAAATAGTTTGTAATCCCCCTCCACCCCTGCAAGGCCTTGAGGTGACATGTTCCTTTACTCAATGATACTTTTAAACTAAGCAATAACCACGTTTCCTCCATTTTTTAAAAGAATAAAAATGGAACTAGCAGGTACTAAAAATATAATCAGAGGGGAAGATCTGGGTTACGGTTATGCAGTCTGTTACGGTGAAGGTATCATCATGGCTAGGCTTCACAAGTGAAGATTTGGGAAGGACTCTACCCACATTTGCTGCAAGCACGCTGGTGGCTAAAGAGGCCAATGCGAGACAGACAAGTCCAGTTGCAAAAGGCACAGCAGAAAGACTCCTTGGATGGTATCGGCAAGACACGATTCTTTCTGCAGTTTTTTTTCTCCTCGAGAGTGATCCTGTGTGTGTTCTCAAAAGAAGCAGCAGCGTTATAGATGGTGTGTCTCCAGACCTCCCGATTGGAGGACAGAGTAGACCAGTGATGAAGATCAATGTGGCCAGGGCTGAGATGTTGTTTCAGGGAGTCCTTGTATCTCCTCTTCAAGGCTTCTTTCTTGCGGCAGCCGGTGGCAAGTTCACCATAAAGCAAGATCTTAGGGAGGCGGTGGTCCTTCATCCTGGAGACGTGCCCTGCCCAATGCAGCTGTGTTCTCAGCAACATGGTCTCAACACTTGTGACTGCTGCTTGTTCTAGAACAGATGTATTGGTCACATAATCTGACCAGTGGATGTTTAGGATTGTACGGAGACAGCGTTGATGGAAGCGTTCTAGGAGATGCAGGTGGTGGCGGTAAATGACCCATGATTCAGATCCATATAAAAGAGTAGACAGCACTATGGCTCTGTAAACACTGATCTTGGTGCTTTTCTTCAAGTGTTTATTACGCCAAACTCTTTTATGGAGTTTTCCAAAAGCACTCTATGCCTTTGCTAACCTGTTGTCTATCTCTCCATCAATCTCACCATCCGAGGAGATGATGCTACCTAGGTAATTAAACTGCTGGACTGATTTGAGCTCTGATTTGCCAATGGTGGTATGGGGATGATGGAAGACTTCCTGAGGTGCAGGCTGATAGAAAACTTCTGTCTTCTTCAAGCTGACTTCCAGCCCGAAAAGCTCAGCAGCTTCAGCAAAGCAGGATGTTAAACACTGCAGAGCACCTGTGTGGACAACGAAGGCGACATTGTCAGCATAAAGCAGCTCTCAGACAAGATGGTTTAAGGTCTTAGTGTGAGCCTTCAGTCGCCTTAGGTTGAATAGGCTTCCATCAGTACGATATCGAATGTAGATACCATCTTCTTCATCGAGGTCTGCTGTGGCCCTTTGGAGCATCACGCTGAAAAAGATTGTGAATAGGGTTGGTGCGAGAACACAGCCTTGTTTCACACCATTGGTTGTTAGAAAGGGCTCAGAAAGTGCATTGCCATATCTGACTTGGCCGTGCTGATCCTCATGAAGTGATATGATCATTTTAAGGAACGTGGGGGGACAACCTAAACGTTCCAAAATCTGCCATAGACCTTTTCTGCTCACAGTATCGAAAGCCTTGGTGAGGTCAACAAAGGTTACATAAAGACCTTTGTTCTGTTTCCTACACTTCTCTTGCAGTTGTCTGAGAACAAATACCATGTCTGTGGTACTCCTGTTGGCTCTGAAACCGTATTGGCTTTCAGGAAGAAGTTCTTCTGGTATAGCGGGTATTAGTCTATTCAAAAGTATTCTTGCCAGGATCTTGCCAGCAATGGAGAGCAGAGTAATACCCCAGTAGTTTGAACAGTCTGATTTATCTCCTTTCTTCTTATACAAGGTGATGACGACTGCATCAGGAAGGTCTGATGGTAGTTCACCTTGTTCCCAACAGCGCACCACAAACTTGTGAAATTTAGCATGGAGCACTTGGCCCCCATGTTTCCAGACTTCAGGTGGAATTCCATCAACCCCAGCTGCCTTGCCAATTTTCACCTGCTGTATGGCCTTAAGAGTTTCTTCCATAGTAGGGGCAATGTCCAATTCATTCTTCACCTGTTGCTGTGTGATGTACTGAGTTGCTGAGTCTTGGACTACATGGGTGGTACTGAAAAGAGTCTGAAAGTGTTCAGACCAACGATTCAGAATGGAGGTTTTATCTGTGTGAAGCACCTGACCATATGTGCTGAGTAGAGGGCTTTGGACCTGGTATGTAGGCCCGTATGCTGTTTTCAGGGCCTCTTAGAATCCTCTGTAATCACCCGTATCTGCGCATAATTGAATTTTTCCTGCTAGACTGATCCACCACTTGTTCTGGATGTCACGAAGTTTCTGTTGGAGCTTGCTGCATGCAAGACAAAAGGCTGCTTTTCTTACATGGCAAGATGGCTGATCAAGGTGTGTTGGTGAGCAGTTCTCTTCTTCCTCAACAATTCCTGGATCTCTTGATTGTTTTCATCGAACCAATCCTTGTTCTTCTTGAAGGAGAACCCTAAGGACTCTTCAGAGGACTGCAGGATGCTATTTTTAATATGTTGCCAAAGTGTTTCAGGAGAGGGATCTATGGAATGATCCTCGAGCCTAGTTTGAAGGTTTGCCTGAAAGCTGTCTCTCACTGTAGCTGATTGAAGATCATTAACTTGGAGTCTCCTCCTTGGAATACCGCCCCTTTTAGGTTTGAACTTCAGGTTGAAGTTAAGTTTACAGTGCATAAGTTGATGGTCTGTTTGGCATTCTGCACTAGACATCACGCGAGTATGGTGAACATTGCGAACATCTCTCTGTCGCACCAAGACATAATCGATGAGGTGCCAATGCTTGGATCTAGGATGCATCCAGGTTGTCTCTAAAAAATAATGTGCCTTACTAAGAGATCCAGGAATGGCATGGACATAGATCTTGTCATCTGATAAGTCTAGGAGGGGATGACAGACGTGTTCTTTAAGTTCCATTTTATCCTTAGGGTTCACAAAAATTGCTAGAAACTGGGGCAGTTCATGCTGTTCCATACCATAATCATCAAAATTTTATTGGTGTTAATTTGTGTTGTCGTTGGAAGACCTTATGCCATTTTTGCATGCAGCATCTGAAGCAAGGGCAATGGTTACAAGTTGCTATTAGCAGGGGTCAGGATTTTCTGTCCTAGAATTATATATCTTCATCATTAAAATGACATGTATGCAGAGACACCAAGACTAATGACGAGCAAGCTGCCATATCTGCAAAGCTGTTCTGTGTGGGATGCTACCATGGATCTGGAAGCAGCAGGCTGTGTAGTCATGTTGCTACTGTTTGCAGAGCTGCCTCTGTTTTTGCTAGCTTAGATTTCCCTTCACTGTGTTATGGTTAAACCAGATTGTAAGGAATCCTGTGGATGCTGAATCATAGTGAGCGCAGGCAGGTACCTACGGTGACTGCCTGGTCAGGAATGCAAGTGCCAGTTAGACTTCACCATAAAAATGGGCTCATATGTAAATAATGTGTTTGGTTAAAAAGAAAAAAAAGACAGTCTCTGTCAAGAGCATTCAAAAAAGGTTGTGATTTGGGTTTTTTTCCGACAAAAACTTACTCTGTGAGTGGAAGTTACTGCCACAAAATATTGATGATAGTAAGAGCTAAGGGGAAAAAAATACTCTTTAACTGCTAATAGGGATGGTTTAGAGTATATTGGGGTTTTATATTTCTTTTTAATTTAAAGGGTAGTAATCACTGTTCTTCCAGGTAAGGTAATTAATTAATGGATTAATTAATTAGTGGTGGTTGATAGAAAATTCCTTATTAATCTGTCACATTACTGTAGGGTTTGATGCACTTCCTCACAAAGTCTTTGATGTGACCTGCCAGAAATAGGGTGACAGACTAAAGAACATTTATTGGTATTTCCTAAGGTAATTCTTTTATTTCTGTAATACAGTTGTTGTAGGCATGGATCCATTTAAATTAATGATGGTGATTTTCTTCTGGAGGGACTATAAAGGTTGAACTGACATAGTTGCTAGTTGTGAATGTGTGTCATTTTCAAAAATCCCACCTATGGACCTAGGCTTTTTTAGATGACCAAAGTTAGAAATGTGGTTCAAATACTCAGTAGAATTTTGATGTTGACTGCCTTGCAAATCTGCTTTGGTTTCTACGTGGTTCTTAGAGCATGTAAGAATGCAACTGCTGAGGTTACATGATATGATAGGTGTTGTGGAGAAGTATAAAGCTAAATGGGGAAAAATCAGACATGAACTGGAAATATTGAGTGTTCTTGTGGAGTGGTGGTTAACTGATCTGCTGTTCCTCAGGGGTTGGGAACAAGTGGAAGTCACCTGCACACCATACCTGAAGGAGACTCCCAATTCTCTCTGGAACTTTGAAGATCATATTAACCCTAAGTGTAAGTAATTTATTTCCTTTCAGTTTGAGAGTGCATGTTGGCTTGCTGTTTAAGGAAGGGATGAGCTATCAGATGGCAATAACTGGCATTCAGCATTTGGAATATGTGTGTTCTTTCCCAGTTTAAGTGCAAACTTGCTGAACTTGGGCCATTGCAGAGTTGCGGAGCCTTTTTCTGTTTCACTGTTTGTACTGCAAGCTGGTGATAGTGCTTGAAGTGTAGTGGAAGTATAAAGACTTTTTTGAGGATTTTGAGATGTTCACGGACAGCACTGCAGTACAGGCTGCTATTTTTAATGTTTTTTGTTTAATTGGGAATTATTGTCATTCATGTATGTCATACATATTTCAATGATTTTTAAAAAAATCTAGGATCCACCTTGTTCTGGTGTATTTTTTTCCCCTCACTTACTGGGGGCATGCTAAATAATCACTTTGCAGTACCATCAAGAAATTAATAGTGTGTGACAGAGATATGAATTTGCCAATAATGACAGATGGGCCTTGCAGCCTCATCCAGGAGTTACATGTTTCACAGCCTCATCTGGCCTGAGTTATTCAACACAATTTTCATCCCATGAATTGCAAGTGACTTGGGCTGAGTTCTGAGTTATTAAAAAACTTACTGTTCTTCATCCTTTGAGAGCAACTGTATGCAAACCAAAGGAGAGAAATCCTGGGCTCTTGACTTGGTAGAATTTCTTGTTCTGTTGTAATGCACTCCCACACATATGGCTCATATAGATAAACAGCAGCCTGTGAAGAGTATGTCTCTAATTTTAGCCAGAAATACAAATCTATTAATTTCATGGAGTTTGGTCTCTTTCTCTTGCTCCTGAAAGTAAAGGAGGAAATCTAGGAGTACATCAGTTGTAAAATTCACTGGGAGATACTTTTAACTGCAAGCCTCTCTGTTTAGAATATGAATGAATTGCATAGAGAATTCAAATTCTGGAAGCAGATTTGTTGCAGAAGGAGAGAATGTAGTTTTTTATGAAAGATGCAAATAAATGTAAACCATACAGACGTCTAATCTATTTTTCTCACTTTCTCCCACAGTGCCCAATATCAGCCTGGATGTTTTGAAGCCTTCTTTTGCAGAAATTTTGCTAGAATCCCACATGGTTATGATCCGGGTAGGATATCATTAATTCTAGATTATCATTTTCTTCCTCCTCTCTCTTGCATCAAAAAGAAATAGCACTTTCTGAGAGATCTGGGTGATGGCTGCAAGCTAGGGCAGAATTTACATGCCTGAGCAACCTACTTGAATTTATACTTAGAAAAAGGAATGGAGCTAATTCGTCCAAGTTTGGAAACCTTGGACGTAATGCCTGGCTCTGCTCTTGGTGTGATCTGGCTACAGCCTAGTTATGTCATACTTTACTTACCTTCCTGGAAGGTTTTAAAGTTAAATTAGTATTTGTTAGGCAGGAGGATGTTACTGTGGTCAAAGTCAAGAAAATAAGCTAAACAGACATTTAGGAGAACAGTAAGTGTTTGGATTGAAAATGGAAAACTCCTGATTTTTTTTGAAGTTCATCAAGGTGCTGTGATTTCTGGTTTCTTCTTTATCTCTGAATACAAAAAAAAAAAAGAGCAGATTAAATATTTTCAAGGTGAACTGCTCTTGCAGTCTTTTCTCCATGATTGTTTTTTGTACTCTTGGCCACAGCCCTTCTGCTTCCAGCTCCTCAATCCTTCAGCTGAAGAATGAGAAGTTACTATTTTGAGAATGGAGTCCAAGGTTTTCTTTGCTATTGTTTGTAAAGGTCTTCTCAGATTTTTAAGAGAAAGAAAGTAGTCAAGGAAATTATTGTTAATGCTTGTAAAGTGTTATTGTAAAGCATTTCCATGGCAATCAGTATCTCAGGTAAGGAAGCACCTGCATGAGTTTCCATGGAAATAATCTTTCTGAAGCTTGGTTTTTTTTCATAGTGGAGGGAAACTTGTCACAGTAGTCTCTTAATGAACAAAGGTCTTGCTTATGCAACATGTGTCCTCAGTAACAGAAAAGCTGGAGAAGAGAAATGAGAGAATACTGCCTCTTATGGTACCTAAAGAACATTTTCACTTGCACAGTAATAGTAAAACAATAATTTTCCTCATTGCATTCCCTTCTGTGGAAGATGATGTGTTCATGTAAGTCAGAAAAGAGCTTTCACTCAGGGAGAGTGAAAGATGTATGTTTGCATACACAGACATTTCTGGACAGGTGTTGCAGCATAACTGCCTGCTCATGTAAATTTTATGTTGACCTATCTGTAGGGAAACAGCGGCCTCAAACCAAAGGACAATGAAGTTACATCCAAACCTTGGCACTGGCCCATCAACTACCAGGTATATTGATTAGTCCACCTTCTTGTCTATTTTCAAGTGTTTTTGCAGTGCCTCTAGAAGCATAGCACCTCTTCATTGCATTGAAGATGCAATTGGACTGATGAATATCCATTTTACTTCCTTCTGATCTCTTTCTTCAGGGCCTGCGTTTTTCTGGTGTCAATGAGACGGATTATCGTGTCTATTTGCTGGGAAACCCAGTAAGTTGGAGTGGGAGGTTCCAAGTCAATGTCTTTAGCAAATTTTAGCTTAGTCTTGCTTCTTCCAGTGACAGTGTTTCTTCTTCCTTCTCCTCCTTTTGGACAGTCTCTCTTATTGTACTCTTAATGTTTGCATGTAACTTTTCATTTCCTCTCACATGCATGTGTCCACCATAAAGTCCCAAATCTTTATTTTTTCCGTGTAGGTGATTTGGTGGCTAAATCTGGTCACTATGGGGTTATATTTTCTGATAACAATTTGCACTGCAGTGGCACTGAAGAGAGGTGTCCAACTGACATATGAACTCAAAGGTAAGGTCAGTCTTCCTTTTCATAAATGCCTTTTGCAGACACCTGAAAAGTGTATGGATGGCAGGACTTTGTGTGTCAAGGGTGGGAAACGACTGAGCTTGAATTATTGGGCAGTGTCCACAAGGAAAAGAGTGGGATCTTCATATGTTAAATAGTTTAATGGTGAACAGCACAGATCTTCAACAGAAATGCTACAAGGGATACAGGCCAATTGGATCAAAGTCCTGCTGTGAAGGTCTGCATGTTCTCTATACTACTGTAGTATGCACAGTGTTTTAAAATGAGAAATGTTTCCTGATCTTTTTGCAAAGCAAATGGCAAACGTAAGAGATACAATGGTCCTTTTTTGAATCATTTTAGAGGTAGAGCTATTCACAAACCCTAATAAGTCATATTTTGACCATTCCAGTTTACTTCAATGGTTGCTTCATTTTGTAGCTCTCCTTGTGGGAAGTGAATTCTAAAATGTGACGGGAAACTACTCAATTATAGAATAAGTTATTGGCTAAGCTATATGAAGACACCAGAGCTCTCACTCTTTTCCCCAGGCTCTGAAAGCTAGGCAACATTTCTTTCCAGGCAGAGTGATCATCTGGATGGCTCATAGTCTCATTGCAGAGAGAATAAAAAACATCAGTAACTGGAGTGACCTGATTAGTCTGATGTATGCCCTGAGGAACTACACATTTGGTCTTAACATACAGCATAATCAACCTCCTGCCAGTCCCTTGAGATTTATGTCTCTATATTTCTTTTCTTTACTGTTCTCCTGACAAGTGTTTGTAGTGTAGGGATAGGTGCAATCGCGCAAGACTTTGTAACAGAAAGCTAGAACTTGTTTCACTTAGAAAAACTGCAAAATGCCTTTTCAAATGGGTTAGATGTTTTTTTTCCTTCCTTCTGCGTTTCAAAGAATGTTACAGGAAAAAGCTGTGAGCAAGATATCTCTCTCCGTAGTATGCAGACAGATAACATGTTTGCAGACATGTCCAAGGCCTCCTTGGGAAGGTGGCAGAGAATCAGAGAGGATAAAGGGGGCCTTGAGGGGGCGGGAACTCGCCTTTTGCCCCTGAAGATCCAATGCATGCTGCATCATAAAAAAGTGGTCCTTGCACCTGAAATAAACCTTTTTTATAATCCTTCCACTGCCTTGTCATTCTTGGGAAGAATACCTGCATATGTTTACCTTACAGGATGTTTATAAAGAATGCAGCCAGGATGTTGCAGAGGCTTGAAGCAATTTCAGGCCAATACATGACTTCCTGCAAAGATCTTTCCTGTTGAGTTTATTTAGTGTGTTAAGGTTTGCAAATAAGAAATGTAGCTGAGTTTTTCTCTGTCTGTATACTTGTGTTCCAGAACTATCCAGAGTCGTGCTACGTGGTGGAGGGCAGATCACACTGGGTTGGCTCCTTCATTACCTCCCTTTTTTTATGATGGGACGAGTTCTCTACTTTCACCACTACTTTCCTGCCATGCTTTTTTCCAGCATGTTGACAGGTAAATACTAGAGTCTAGGAGAAAACAAGGTGGAAAAACAGGTGAAATTCCATTAAATTTAATGTTTTCAGATTAAAAAGTTTATTAATTTTAATGGGCTTTCTGCTTGCTTGTGCAAAGTGCTTGAAAACATTGACTAATTCAAAATGTTTTTCACAAAGCACCTTGCTGGGCCAAGTTGTCTTTTTTTTTTTTTTTTTTGTTGCTACCCTGAAAAGGCAGTCATGTCTAGTGTTTAGGGCATTTAAATTTAGAGATGGCATTCCTATTCTCTGCTGTTTCACTGTTTATATATGCTTTTGTACAAGTTGCTTCTCTTTGTTTGCTTTCCTGACTTTTCCGTCATGTGTGTTTATAATTTGGTCTTGGTAGTTTTTCCTGTGATTTTGTACCAACTTAGGATCTTAGGCCCAGATCTCATTTGCATTTATTCAAATGGAAAGGTAGGGGAAAAAAGAAACTTCTGCTGATACAAAACAATCTCTATAGTTTTGAAGGTTGCGACAGTAAATGAATTTAAAATTTGAATGGTCTTCTGGTGTTAATAGAGCTTCATCAGCCCAGTCAGTGAACATAGCGGCTCTGTTCTTCCCCTGATTCTTACCTCTTCCTTCTCCTAGGAATCACCTGGGACTCACTACTGAAGTTTTGTGCTGGGTTCTTGTCACCCAGCACTACAGCTAGAAAAGTATATGGAGGGGGGTTCCTGGTGCTGGTTCTGCTTATCCTGTACAGGTGAGTGCTGAAAGCTTAACTTTTCATGAATGTGTGATAGCTGCCATCTCAATGGAAACTTTAATGCCTGTTAATTTTCCTTAGCCTTGAGTCTCTGTCTCTCTTCTCTCCTGAATGTGTCAGACATCCTCAAGCCTAGTCCTAAACTCTCAATTTTTATTAGATTCAGCATCTGTGTCCCAGTAATGCTTTATAGAACATTTTTCCATTGCAGGGAATCTTTCTTTTATCCTAGCACGCAGTGTGAACACTCTATTTTCCTCCAGTCCCAAAATCCAGTGGTTTCTGGTTCTAGTCCCAATGATGGTGGCATATTCCTCAAATATAGGCAGATTTTTTATTGCTGTAGGTTTTATCAGCTGGCTTTTCTCCAAAACCGTTGGTTTCTAAGAGAAAATACCATGTGTTATAAAACTGTTTGCTATGTATATATTGTGTTCAGCAGAGATTAGAAGGTCCCCAGTGGAGCTTAGTGCAACCCAAAGACAAAGATTCTATAGGACATCTCTATGGACTAATCTGCTGCAAAGTTCTTGAAACAGAAAACCGTGCAGTCCTTGATGGGCTTTTGATTTCTTTCCACAGCTTCTACCTCTTCCATCCTCTGTCCTATGGGATGATAGGACCTATGGCCTCGGACCCTAGCAGCCCCATGGCAGGGCTCCGGTGGATGGACTCCTGGGAGTTCTAGAGCCAACAAGGGAGGCCTGGGAACAGCGGATGAGAAGCATGAGATCTGCTGCAATGTCAGGCTGATTCTGGTGCTTTGAAGACATGCCCTCTCTGGAGAACTCTGGGTATAGGTAGCCCTGTTGCTTTGGCATTTGTTTGCACTGCCTGCACTGGAATATGCAGAGGATGAGAAGGTCCCCTTAAATTAAAAGACTCATGTCCTGAATCCTTGGGTTATATTCATGGACAGCTGGCTCCTTAGATGTCAATTCTTTTGAGCAATATATACCAGTCAAACAGCAGTGGCATTCCAGCACTCAGAGCAGTAGAAGCTGGAGGCTGTCTGTGATTGTACACCTGTGTGTGTCTTCCTTCTTGTAATCTAAGCACCGTTATAGTTGGAAAGCCAGACAGTGTCTGAGACCTTAGGACTTCTATCATGATTAACAATTATTCTTTTGGTGAGGTTTTTGAAAGCATCCTGTAAGTATATGGGGACCTCCATTCTACCCTGCCCTGGCTATCTGCAGTTCTTTTGTTCTGACCCTGAATTTTTAGAATTTGACTGAAAGGAGTCTGCTTGAAATCTCTTGAGCCACCGTGCCTTGCCTGCTTCCCAGGCCTTCTGCATACAGAGATGAAATTGTTTAGCCCTATATACTGCCTTGCTTTCTGGTCACCTTTAATCATTTGTAAGTTACCTAGCAGGCCTGTTTCCAGAGCCAGACTGTTCCAACTCAGCACTTTGTAGCTTCTTTGCAGTTCTGTCTGAAACTGCCAAGGAAATGACAGTGGAAATGACAGGTGATTTGTTTTCAGCCCCAGTATGCTGTGGAGACCAGCACGAGGATGTACTAGAGGCTGATATGATAGCTTGGAAATTTTACAGACAGCTGTCATTCACCTTTTGATCCCAGCTATTTCAGTGCCAGTACCTGTGCTTTTAGGGGAAGGCTTCATCTTAAGGAATGAAAAACTGGCTGCTGGTGCCAAGGTATCTGCTCTCTGTATTCCCATATGGAAAAAGTTCCCTCTCACAGATTGCTGGACATCAAATTACTGTATTGAAGGAAATGTGAGGCCAAGCAAAAATTCTTTGTCTCTTAAGTGTCAAAAGCCATTGAATGTTGAATCCACCCCTTCCAAGAAATCAGAATTCAGTTTATCAGGTGCTTTTGTCCTGTGTTAGGTCTATTTTTGTAGATGTTCCTTTTATTCCATCTCCTACTCTTCAACCAGTTTCAGTTTCTTGTCATGGTTCAAGTTGCTACCTTGTAGCATCCGACATGAATGACACTTAGACCCCACCTGTGTTCCTATATCAAGAAGTAATATTTGAAACTCTTTTGTGTATGTTTCAATGCACTCAAGCCTTTCATTTCAGAGTTCTTGTTCTGCTCCACAGCCTTTCATCAAAATTACAGGTGAGCGTATCTGCCTTTAAACATGAATTGTGCATTTATTTCTCTTACCAAATCTTGAATTCTAATGTATTTCCTGCCGCACAGAAGGGCTGCATTAGCATAGTTGTTCTGTGGGGGGTACTAGACTCCAGTCAGACTTGCTTTCATTCCCCTTCAATAGAGATCCATAGCATTGTTCAGTAAGGCAGCTGCTTGCTGTTGAAAGGCTCTGGCTTGGTATGTCACATCTCTCCAGAAGTTGACTCCTATAGATACTAAGTCAAATGGGATGGACATGTGCTTTTGATTCTAAAGGTTTTGAGTTAATCACCTGCTGGTCATATATGGTGGGAAGTCATTGCACTAATTAGCTACTGGGTTTGATGATTCTTTTCCACTTGTTATTGCAGGAAGTGCTCTTACCTGCATGAGCCAGGGGCTCACTGTGGTGATATATAGGCAAGAAGGATGAGAGAGAAGGCTGCAAACTTCTTCAGATCCTGCTTGATCTGACAGCAGCTGCGAGTTGTTAACTGTTGGCAATGTGAGTGGCTGACAGTGCAGTGCTGCCTTTGTACCAATGGGATTCAGCATCTTCTGCTCTTGGTGAGATTATTAACTTAATATTTTGCTATCCTGAATATGAGCTTTCCCTAGGGTAGTCCCATTTTCATGAGGAGGATTTGCCAAAAGAGCTAATAAAAGCTATGATTTAAAGTGCAGAGTTTTTTTTGCAGCACATATAATCCCATGCTTGTTCTTAGCATTAACAACAAAAAACCCCTAAGAAACGTGAGCATTTTGGAATGACAGTTTCTAAAACTCTTTATTCATCACATTAAACCTGTGGGAATGCAAAAAGTGAGTCAGTAACCTTGATTTCTTCAGTTATTATGAAGGAGTCAGCTTTGTAGAAGTTGTCTGAAGATGATGAACCACTCTTCCTTGGCCAGGGTCCCTCCATCCTTTATCACTAATAATCTTTTGGATGTGGATTGGCAGCTGAGTGCTAAAGGTGGCAAATGTCACGCTCCCATCCCACCTTCCTATGCACAAGCCCAGCTTCTGTTTCAATAGACACAAAGGTTTATTTTTCTTTACGACTGTCATTTCAGAAGTTCTCGAGAGCATTAGATTGACATTGAGACTAATCTGTTTCTTAGATCTTGTATGCTGGTAAGGAGATGGAGGCATACAGTGAAAAAAAATCTTGCTATTCCACAAGAGGGAGCAACTTACAGCAGAACTATTTTTTCTTTTTTAATCTGGAGATAAAAAGATTGAAAGATCTATATTGAAGTCTAGAGAGCAGGTGTTTCCTCTGTACCTTGTGGACTCCAAGGTTTGGGTATTCAAGTAAGGGTAGACTGGTGTAGGTCTGTCTTCTTTCAGGAGAAGAGTACTGATTTTTTTTTTATTTTTTATTTTAGAATTTGACCTTCGATATTTGGTTCTTAAAACCTGTCAGGCCACAGCTGGAACATAATAGTAACTGATATTTTGTGAAGTCAATAAAATAAAATAATTGGGATTCCATTACTGACTCTGTCTTAAAATGTCTGAGTGGTACAAACATGAGGCAATGGGTGTAGGGCACTCTTTGCTTTCTGGATGGAATTTGGGCTGCTTCAGTTCAGCTTTTCCAGTTGTGCTTGTGGAATGAGTTCAGGGTTTTTTTGAGGACTGCTTATTAGTCTTCTTCCCCAGTCATGTGGAAAATGGCTCACAGTGCTTTCTGAGGCCAGAAGATTCAGTTCTCTGGAGCAGCTGCTCTCTTTGAACTTTGCCAGACAGGGCTCCTTTTATCACTGACAAAGTATTTCATCAAATTGTATCCATGGATTCAAATCACAAAAAGCTGCAGGCTGCCACATTCCCTGGTTCAAATTCTTTTTTGTGTGTAAAATATCTTCAACTCTTCAGTCTTTGAAGGATAGGTAGAGGGCCCCTAGGCTCATCTAGCTTTATCCTAGACAATCTATCCATCTTAAAAGGTTTTTGTTAACAGTCACTTCAGGACATCGATACACACATATCTACTGCAGCAGCAGGGACCGGCTTATTTCCAGGAACTGGACTACTCATTCTATGAGACAGGGATGTGACTGTGAGGAGGATTTGAATGGAGATTTCTGTGTCAAGGTTGCTCTTGGTCCAGGTGGAGGACTTTGTGTCATCACTGCTCACCATTGTTTGCAGCCCGGTGGGTATGAGAGCCACCCCCCCTTTCCTGTCTGTGTAGGGTTTTCTTTTTGCATCTCGATTGGAAAGGCTGATTGATGCACAAAGGGCACTGACAGGATATACCTTTTTATATCTTCCTCCTTTCTTCTGCTTCTTCAAGTATGCCCAAAGTACAGGACATGTCTTTGCTTTCCCCAGTTTTTAGGCTGTGCATCTGTTTCATACAGGTGCCTGAACAAGGGGTAGAACAGGACATCTTGTAATATCCTGAGTAAATGAATACTTGTAATCTGAGAACAAAACCAGAACCTTGTTATGGAAAGGTAAACAAATACATTACTTGACAATTCCCTCCTGTTTCTCCTGAATCCCTCTGAGAATCATTTTCAAGGGACCAACTCTTAACACAGAAAAACAGGCATTTACCTGAAATTCTCCGTTGCCACACTTAGCAGCTTTCCTTCCATGCTGTGCCTGAGTGACTTACCCTCTCAACTGGCACTCTGTGCACAAGCCCTGTTTCATCCTCTCGGGATCCTGCTGACAGTGTGAAAATCTCCTTAGCCCTATGTCTCTGCCAGCTGGGGAATGTAGGTAAGATTATTTTTTTTTACCCCTTTACAGCAAGTGACCCCACACATGGGCAAGTATGTCATGAAAGCAAAAGTGTGTGGACTGTTAGAACATAAGGCTCTTTCCTGCTGGGAAAGGAAGGCTGAGGATAAGAACACCACTTCCATAGCATACTTGCTGTTTTCAGCGGGGGACTGTGAACTGCAAGCAGTCAGGACTGAAAATTATCTCTGTCTTCTTTAAAGTACTAAGACCTTGGTTGTGTGGTGGGTTGTGAGTTGCTTCACTTTTTAAACTTTTTTATGCTCTTTACTTGAATGTCAAGGGCTATGATTGTCACAAATAATATCTGAGGTGGTGATATATTAGCACGGATACCACTGCTGCTGAATTTGTAATTGTTCCTAAAACATTGCCAAGTGAGGTTATTGTGTTTTACAAGAGTCACTGTTTGGAGCCATCCTTGGAGAACTTGCCCCTGGATGAGCAAGAGTTTGTAGCAGCAGTGAGAGGGGTTCCTTTGTAATTCTGTCCTGTATCCTGAACCTTTCTTACTAATGCTGTCTGTGTGTGCGTGCGTCCATCTGTCCACAAACTGAATGTCTTCTAACCACAGTGCAATTACTGTATCATACAGTGTGGATGGGAGAATGTTCCCTTGAGCTATAAATGTGTTTTGTACAGGTGATAATGGAAAATGAGGTAGAATTTGGAATTTAATTTTGTAATAAATACCTCTTCTTGGAAGCATTCTCTTTGTGCCTAGATCTTGGGGTGGATTTTTTCTCCCTTTCCTCTCTTCCTCACATACTTGAAGTAGCAACATGAACTTTAAACGGACCTATTGAAGAGTTTGATCTAGGATAGTGATGATCTACATCAACTTTTGGCACACAAGTGTTGTTGGACTACAATTCAAGGAGGTCAGATTTTACTGCAATCCAGGCAATTGCTGATAAGCACAGCAGGAAGTGAAACTGGTTTATTTGGATGAGAATAAAGTATGTGTGTTGAAGCAGGTTTACTTCTCCCTATTAAAGACATGTTAAATTGTAAATATGTATAATGTGTCAGGTTTAATGGGTATTTTCATCAAGCTTCTGGTAGATTACCTGTGAACACTTAGTTTGACAGATCAAGCACTTTATTCAGGAATCCAACATTCTTCTACAAGTCATTCTTGTTTTCAATCCATAGCATCCATAACACCAGACTGGTGCACTGTTTTGTACAAATGAGGCCCTTGCTGTGAAGTAAATGCAAGAATCTGTAATAAAACTGAAATGCTGAAAATCAGAATCTATCTCTACACCAGGCTGCAGTGAGAGGCCAGCATATGCTTTTGAGTACAATGTAATAGGGGATTTCTTGGGGTGGAACTAGGTGGGGAAAACCGAAGTACAGCTGACTTATCTGGGGCTACACATTGATGCCCAGATCAGTGCTGGAGAAGAGCCAACCAGTCTGTTTAGACATGTTCCAAGGGCTGCTAAAGTAAAGCCAGGACAGCTGGGAACTGTACTATGTCCTGTACAGAGTGATACAATAGGCTATTAAATGGCTTCTGAAAAGCCTATTGACATCTTGTACTGCTTCACACAGTGCAAGTTGGTCTTTGGATATTGTCTGATCAGGGCTGTTGTTCTGGAAGGAAGGAGTGCCGATACAGAAGCTGTGCTAGAATGTAGGGAGACAACTGAAAGGAAAAAGAATGAAGTATTGTTCAGAAAATGCTGATAATATCTGGAGTAAAACTTTACTTCTCACTGCCCTCTAAAGGAAGAATGGCTTCTTTCTGTAGGTAAGTGATCTCACGTGGGCGTACACTGGTGAACGATTCCAGTTTATATTTGATTTGAACCTGCCAGATTCCTAGGCTGCTAGATTCCAGCCGTCACCCTCTTACATGTTCCTCAACAAGAATGAGGCTTTACAACCTGGTGTTTTAGTATAGATTTTGTGCTCTGTCTTCAAGCTTTCTTAATCTTCTGTTTTCTAACAAAATAGAAACTTTCAATGCAAGTTACTTCCTTTGGCCCTTGATTTCCCATGCCCCTTCTCATTTTCATCGGTTTACCCATATGATTTCCCAAACTGCACACTGTCTTCCACTATCAGTCTCTCCAGTTCAATATGCTGAAATAAATCTTTACTACACCTATCACTGCTGCCTGGTTTACATCCAAGAATGTGGTTGTACACTTTGGAGTTGTTTTCTAATGCACCATCACTAACTCTGTAACTCTGGCCCATGTAATACATGCTCTGGAAATAGAAAGTTTGTGCTTTATCAGAATGGGTGTAGTCTAAGTGTCGCAAATGCTGTAAATTGCTTTGTCCATTTTTACCCTTCTTGCAGTCATTGCTTTATCTCTAGATTTCATCCAAAGCCAGTCATCCTGCTGTCATGCAGCTGACAAAAGGTAGTCTTCAGGCTTCATTCACCTGATCTGTTTTTTTTTACCATGTATTTTAGGATTAGGTAGTTATGAAGTACCTGGGCTTCTCCATTGATCAGAAAGGGAGTTTAGATTACTTGTCCATATGAAAGCATCTGTGTTGGACCAGCTGAGTCCCACCCTGGCAGTGTGCTGATCCCTTGCAATGCTTTAGGGACAATAACTATTTGGTTTTGAGGTAGAGAATGAAACTAGCTGAGAATTGGGGAGACTTGGTTAAGATGAAAATGTGAACATGTATAAGATGGTACATCTTGTATTAGAAACAGTGTGGCCAGCAGGACCAGGGCAGTGATTGTCCCCCTCTACTCAGCACTGCTGAGGTTGTACCTTGAATCCCGTGTTCAGTTTTGGGGTCCCTCACTACAAGAAAGACACTGAGGTGCTGGACCATGTCCAGAGAAGGGCAACAGAGCTGGTGAAGGGTCTGGAGCACAGTCTTAGGAGGAGTAGCTCAGGGAGCTGGGGTTGTTTAGCCTGGAGAAGGGGAGGCTCAAGGGAGACGTTATCACTCTCTACAACTACCTGAAAGGAGGTTTTAGACAGGTGGGAGTTGGTCTCTTCTCTTAAGTAACAAGTGACAGGACAAGAGGAAATGGCCTGGTACCAGGCCATTTCTTCACTGAGAGAGTGGTCAGGCATTGGAACAGGTTGGCCAGAGAAGTGGTGGAATTACCAACCCTTGAAGTGTTCAAAAAACATGTAGATGTGGCACCTGGGGACATGGTTTAGTGGCGAACCTGGCAGTGGACAGTTAATGGTTAACAGTTGGACTCAGTGATCTTGGAGGTCTTTTCCAACCTTAACAATTCTATGATTCTACAATCTTTATTTAAGATTTATGAACTGTGTGAAAAGAGGCAAATAAGTGCAGCCTAAGTGCAGCTTCAGTGCAGCCGAAGAAAGTGAGTTTAAACAATTCAATAACTTCCAGGCAAAACCCCATTGGAAACAAGTCTGAGAAGCAATATTTAAATAAAAGTCAACAAGAGCACCAGCACCAACTATCCCAGTGTAAGGCAAGGCCAGGAATAGCCAAAGAAGCCAAGCATAAGAAGCTGAGTAAGAAGTTATTGATTAACTTCAAATATGAGAGAGAAGCGTCCAGAAAGTGAGAATGCAGATTACTGAGGGCTGCTATGAGAGAGTCATGTGGAGGGGGAAAGCAAAAAGGCTGCTTCTCAAAATGAAGGCATAAAGAGCAATATCGAAGTTAATGAAAAACTGTCAGGACATAGGTAGTAAGAGATGCATCAAGAGTTGGATTGCTACTTGGCAGAGATGAAAAGGCATGAACCGATGGGTCACTCTGAAAAGTTGTGACCCACACAGCTTCAAACACTTTCATAATAAACGCCCTACTGGGTTATTTTTCTTGTATGCCAGTTTTTATCAGGCTAGTTAGTTTTTTCCTTAATCATTCTCTTTGGTCTTTCTGAGTATTACCACATTTTATACTCCAAGTCTTCTGAAATACCTTTGTTTTGAGCATTACTAAAAAAGATAAAATTAACAATTTAGTTACTAATGGATTGGGAAGTGCTTTGTGATATGACATGGTACATCATTCTCCTCAAGACAGAAACTCAGTATTTATTCAACACTTAGGCTTCTTTGACTCTGGAGTTTGCAGGTGCAAAATTCCTCACTGAACTTGAAAATCATTTTTGACAAAGCCCCAAAACTAGAATGGCTTAGATAGGTGAGGAGGAGAAGACCTCAAGCAGGAAAGGATCCTGCAAATAGAAGGAATAACACATGGGGTTTGCTATGAGACCAGATGGCTGAGTGCAAAGCTGAAAGGTGGGAATGCTGGCACAGCCCTGCCATGAAGGAATGGGTGCAATGAAATATAAAATCTTTGTTTTAAAAGATCGTGTAAAAAATGCGCTTCCTGTAAACAACCACTGTAGGTCAAATGTTTGTAGGAGATGGCCTAATCAATAGTGTCAATTTAAAGTGCACAAAGGAGGGAGAGAACAGACGGAGTGGAGACCAGAGAGAAGACGATCAATGACAAATCAGAGATCAGCACCCACAGTGCTTCTGAAACAATCAAACTCAGCAGGGAAACTACTGAGGAGGGTCCGCAGGGAGTAAAGCATCCTTTCAACCAAGCTTTTGCCATGATGTTTCAGCAGCTGAAGGATGATCCAGTCCAGAAGCATAAGGACAATCAGAGGAAGACCCAAGACCATGTGCACCATTCCTAGGTAGGACAGAAGCCAGGTAACTGTGCTAACACAATGTTGTCAGGCATATTAGCTAGAGCACCATGCTAAGCAAATGAGGCTGGAGAGCTTTGGGACCACAGGTGCTTGCATCCCACCAGCTTGGAGTGTGCGCACATCCGTAGTTGTGTCTTATGACCAAATTCATCTTGTGTGTCAAGACTGACATGGTTGAAACACTCTGTGAACTCGCTTTGGTAGAGTGACTTACAAAAGGCAGAGGTTGCTTCTTGGAAGATCAGCCTGGTGGTGATGGATTATCACTGTGCTAGAGAGCACAAGGTGAGTAACAACTGGGATAAGGTCTGAGCATCTTTTAAGTGCCAGACCTGGTCCAACAACTTGGTGTGGTCCCCTTTGGCTTCTCTCACCACTTCATGCCGTGTCATCCTTGTAGTGTTTTCACCTGCCTGTACAAATGTTCCCTAGCTGGCTACAGGAGATTCAAGATAAACCTGGCAATGTCTAGTAGCAAATTGAAGTCAAAAGGAGTTTTCATTTTATTCTGCTACTGAATCCTCTCCCACACATTGCTCCTTCTCTCTCTGCCTATCCCTCCTCTCTTAGCCCAGATCCCCAAGGTTGGTAGTGCTGCCCTGTTCTCTCCACAGTCGTGGTGGCAGCCAGCAAGCTCTGCAGCTTGCCTTAATCATTTTATGGACAAGATTATTCCCTCCTGCATTGCTTTTGATTCTTGTTATGCAACTGTATTTCGTGACTTGCTTTGCTACTGAGCTGTGCCACACCACAGCTTGAGGGGATAGCTTGAGAAGACTGCTGGGAGCATTGCATGAGTTCTGATCCCACCTGAGGATGGGGATGGGAGTCTGGGAAAAACAGGAGCTGTCATGATCTGAGGTTTTCAGACTGGGAACAAGGGGAAAGAAGGGGATTAGGCAAGCCCAGGAGTCTGTATAAAAAGTGAGCAGGGAGCCTGAGGCAGCTAGATCAGAGTATCATTATTCATGAAGACTCACAGGTGTAAAATTGGAAATGAGCACAAATTCAAAGGGGGATATGGGTTTGTTAGTGCAGCAGCTGGGATGAAAATTGATGGTGCCACAGCAGCACATGCAAAGCAGTTGTTCCTGAGCCAGGCAGATAGGGCCTCTCTGGGCAGGAAGGATTCTTCTCCAGGTGCTGTGAACCCTGACTTCAGTGCTGGGGACTGGCGTTTGTGAGCTTATTCTTAGTTCTGTCACACGGTTTTATGAGATCAGGCAAGTTTCTTTCCATGTGGGTAAACTGAGACAGAGAACAAGTGAAGCTGACACTTGGCAAGGGCAGTTAGGAGTGTTGGTACTGTAACTTGAAGGGGCTATAGATTACAATAACAAGACTCTGCAAACTAAAAACATAAATTTGTCTTCTCCTAAAGCACAAAAGAGTGTTACCATCCTCGTTGCATGTCAGTGAGTTTCTCCAGAAATTTCCCTCCCCTTTCTCCAAGTAGTCTACAGATGATTTTGGAGCAGTCTGTGCTACTGACTCAGTTGTTTTGCACTCATGAGAGTTCTAGGGATGGTCTTGTAGAAATCCAAGAACAGTTCAGAAAAGAGCTGAGCTGCCAGGTTAGGTGCGTGAAGCCAAGGGAGCTGGAAAGCATTGCAGGAAACCCTCCGACCATGGAAACATTTGCAGTGGTCAACCTCTTGCTGAGATTCTCATGCTTGAAGGCTCACAAAACATTTGGAACAAGAAGGGAGGTTTCCTTGTTTGTTTTTCCTTGTACTTCAAATCCTCTCTGGACTCCACTTGTGCTCTCAGAACCTCAGTGCTCTGACAGCAGGAGAAACTCCACTGACAGCCACGTAGCTGCAAGGGAGAAGCTGCTTTGCACACGGGGAAGAGCACTGTGTCTCCCAAACCCTTGCTCTTTCAAGTCATGTCAATGGTGGTTCATATGTTTCTTACCCCTGTCTCCCACATCAAGTCCCTCCTTGCAGCTCCTTTCTCCTGTGCTGGAAGACCTGTGCTGTACAGGTTAAAAAATCCTGGTTTTATTAAGGGAGGGAACATGTACCAGTGCCAAAAGGCAGCAAAGGGATGGATTCACTGTTCAGAGAGTCAGGGAAGGTGGGGAAACTGCTCCTGAATGTATCCAACCCAGAAGGAGCTGTTGCTGGGGGAGGTAGGGAAGAAATTAAGAGTTCTTAGACTCTGCTGAGTGTCATACCAGCATGAAGTTTGGGTGCCAACAGGCGGGTATGGCCAGCACATTGCCCCTTTCATCAGCTGGGGTACCTATATTTCTCATGAAAGGAAGGCATGTCATGCTGAGCACTCTCATTGCTGCCGTTATGTCTGGGGTGTTCTGACACTTGAGCCTTGTCTGGGCGCGTTCAGCGTGCAGCCACCGTCTGCAGCACAGAGGGAAGGTGCAGGGGGGAAGGCTTGGGACAAGATTCACCATTTTCTCTTGCTGTCGTGGCTTCACTGCTATTGTCTGAGACATCCTTGCCATCAGAAGCAATGGCTGAACCTGTGCTTTGTTGTTGCCCTGGGGCAGGGTAGCTGATATGGTGCCTATGTGGAAAGGTGTCCTACATCCCAACTAATCTTCAGGAGCTGATTGCTCTTAACTTCAACAACTTGTTTTTGTGGTATTTCTCTTCCTCCACTATCAGCCAGGTCTGAATGTACTCAAAATGTTGCTAGGCAAATACTCAGCCTTGTTTGCTGCTCTGACTTCACATATGTGCGTCAACTCTGCTCCTCAGTATCCTGTGGCCTGGGATGACTCTCCAGGATGGAGATGAAAGGATGGGGCACTGGAAAGGATGACTCCTTTCCAGTGCCTCAGCAGCACACCGCTGCCTATCTGTTGTTCTACCCTTTCTTGTTAGCAGGGCCAGGCTGTGCTGTCCAGCCAGGCTCTGGTGAAGCTCCACAACTGTGTGTTTGACAATGGCTGAAATGTCAGAGTACCTTGTGCAGATGACACCAGATGACACTTCATGCTCTTTGCTGGTGTGCTCGATCAGCTGCAAGATAAAGGTTAATGTTTGCATTGGCACTACTGGGCCAGCATTTGCCCTGCTCGGATTAACCCAGTATTTCCTGCTGCTTTCCTAGCTGCCCTTTCAGGCTCCTTGCAGTTTCAGCAGTTACCATCACAGTGATTTATCATCACTGCCCAGTGGGAACATTCCCTTTGCAACCACACAGCTAAGACACTGTTTTTAGTGGGAACTTGTCCTGGACCAGAAGATGGTGGCCAGCAGCAGGAAGCACTGCAGGCTGGCAGGTTGTGTGTTTTAACTCCCCAGCTATGAGATGGCCCTTCATCTTGTGCCTTTTCTTTATTATTGAATGCTTTCAATTTATCCCCTGTTCTCTAAGAATATAGATGTGTAGAGATGGTATGCTCTTTGGGGTTTTCTTAGTATGAAAGGTAAAATGCTGTATTTCTAAGAGGAGTCATTATTTAACAGAAACCATTTGCATTTTCCCAGGTCTTGGAACCTTTGACATTAATTCAGTCTTTTCTACCAGTGGTATTTAACACACAGTGTACTTGTGACATCATTTGTTTTCTGGTTCAGTGATCTGACAGTTCAATGTTTTTGTGAGTTTGTTGGACTCTTCCTTCAAGAGCCCAGCTTTAGAACAGGGTTCTTCAGCCTCCTCTAACCCTTGTGGAGCTTTTCCTATGCAGCATCTTGTCTGGTCTGCACTGAGAATGCGAGGTCTCATAATCCTGAGGAAACAGGTAATTTATTCTGGCACTTGCAGAGCCATCTCGGGTGGCTTACTGCTGTCACTGCAGTCAGTGCTGTCACTCCAGCTCTATAGGAGAAAGGCCCCTGGGAGACAAGCTGGGGTTGATAAAGTGGCATTGTGCCTTTGAACTTGTTTCCTCCCAGGGATTATTTTCAGTACTCCTTTATGCCTACACTGAGTCAATATGTTCTTGGGTTGTGTTGGAGGCTGTTGTCTTCTCTCCTGATTACAAGAAATAAGTCTGATGTACAGAACCAGAACTTGTAACAAGATCAGCACAATTGTTATTTTTGTGCAGACTGCAATGGTTTCAGTAATATTTGTGCTTCTGTATTGCTTGCATCCTTATGAAAACCTTAACTTTCCTGACTTCTGTTGTGCTGCTTGAGACCTCATTTGCCCCTTCTTGCTTTGTTTCCTCTGTGCTGCCTACATCCCGGGGCCAAATTAAGCAGTGTCTGAACAAGAAAGAGAATCTGTGCATCATGAACGCAATTGACAAAGATGATATGTCTTCCGATCTGTTATTAACAACTTTGTCTGGTTTAGCTGTCTTAATTAGCCTCAAATTAAATACGTACTTTGCAGAGTCTAGACTGCGTCTGCCTATGGAAATAGCAGGTGGCTGCGTGGCATCCAGAGTCTCAGTGGAAGTGGCCAAGAGCAAGAGGATGGCGGAGCATCGCTGAGGCCCTCCCAGGCAAAGTTACGCTCGGAAGGAGCTGTGCTGAATGGTGAGGGAAAGTGTCTGGGTCCCGGTGGTTCCCTCGTTGGCACGGCTCTGCGGTGCTGCTTCGCTCGTAAAATCAGGTCGACGGGAAATGTCAACCGTGAATAAGCCGAACTTTCTGCTCTGCCCTGCGGACCCGGGATAAGGAGATTTGGGGATTTTGAATTTCGTTTTTCTTCCTTCCCCCGAACGGGAAATACTCGGTGAGCTCTTCCTTCCCCGGCCGGGACAGCCGCGGGTGCAGCAGAGGGGCCGCGGGGCAGAGCGGGGCAGAGCGGGGCAGGGGCGGCGGGCGGGGAGCGGATGCCGCCGGGGCGGGGGGCGCGGGGGCACGGCCCCCCCGGCGGAGCGAGGGGCGGGCGGCTGCCGCTCGCCGGCCCCTCCGCCCGCGGAGCCCGCGGTACCAGCGCCTCGCCTCGCCTCGGGCGGCGAGAGGCAGGGCCCCCGCCATGGAGAGCGGGATGCCGCTGACGGGCGGGCAGCGAGCGCTGATCCGGGAGAGCTGGCGGCGGGTGAGCAGCAGCCCCGAGCAGCACGGCCTCGTCCTCTTCACCAGGTGAGCGCGGCGGCGCGATGCCGACGCCGGCACCCCGGACCGACCCGGGCGGGAGGGATGGACGGGCTCCGCTTCTTGGAGAGAAACGCTTCCCTGTGCTTGGCGATGGCTCCCAGACAGCTCCCTTCCTCTGGCCTCTCTCCGCTCCCGAGAGCAACCGGGGCCGAAGCCCCTCCGTCGCCCAGCCGCGGGTGCCGTGGGGCAGTGCTGGGCTCCGCTCCGCGCTGCTCCCCCGCCTTTCCCACCCTCTGCCAGTGAGAACTTTGTTACGCGGAGACGGAGGGTGAGAGAAGCGGCGGGCAGGGTTTGTGCGTTTCTGCCCACTGATCCCCTGCCTTGTCACCACGACTTCTGCTGTTTGAAGAGCTGCTTGTACCCTCGGCTCTGGGAAGCGTATGGAAGGGGCCGCCTGACTGTTCCCTGATCAGGGAACTGCTGCGCAGCCCCAGGCACAGATCTGGCCGCCGGGGAGGGATTCAGTGTCAGGGCAGAGGAAATGGTGTGCTGGGGGGAATTACTGATACCCAGCTTCTTGCCTGTGCTAAGCAGATTAATATATCAATTATGTGAAGAGAAAAAGGAAAAATCAATGAAAAGTCTTTTAAAAAGAACAGTTGGAGAGTTGATGAGCAGCTTCTGGAACAAGTGGGATCCTCCCAGAGCAGGACTAGAGCAGTGACAGCAATGTGGGGGGAGAGGGATGCAGCAGTTTAATGTGCAGGATGATGAGAAGAGAGACTGTCTTGCCTGAATTCCCTGTGGCCTGTTAGATCTACCTGGATGGCTGCTATTGAGGCCTATATGTGCCTGACATGCAGGGGCAGAGAAGATGGGGCAGGGGCAGGGGGGCGGGATGGGAGCTGGTGAAGGTGTCGGAGACTGTCTGAGTTTGTGCATGCCCCCTTGCTCCAGACAGCTGATGGAGCTTGGAGACCTTCCCTGATTTGTGAGCTTTTGGGTTCAAGGGGATCAAGAAGTGGGAATGGGAAGAGTTGAGCCAACAACCAAGAATCTGGGGAGAAGGGCTAGGCTGGGAGGAATTTTGGTGAGCTGGGACTGGTCCTCAGGTGCCATAGACATGTATCTGAGAGCTGGGGTTGTGGGCCAGGGAAGTAGAGAGGTTTTTGCCTATAGCTAATCTGGATTGCCCCAAACCAAAACTTTTCAGAACTTTTGAATCCTTTACAGGTGGGAGAGTTCAGTAGGTGGGAAGGGAAGTAAAAGGGGGCTGTGGTTGTGCTGCTGATGGGGTTGTTCCTGGGGTGAGTATATATATATATAATGGCCAGTCTTCGCGAGCGAAGATTTGGGAAAGGTCATTGACCCTTCGAGCCTGCGCAGTGGATTTTTTAGGTGAGACACAGCGTGCGCTGAACTGAGCCCACCCTTTAATCCTGAGGTTCATCTGCCGGGGCCAAGCAAACTTGGACAGTGGCAGTGAGGGTCTCAGGACATAGGTTTGTTTAGAGTGACCTTCTCTTAGATGGATTGCCTCACAGGGCTGACGAGCTCCATCTGCCCGGGGGGCTGGGAATCGAACCCAGGTTGCAGTGGTGAGAGTCCTGTACCCTAACCACTAGACCACCAGAGGCCCTGGGGTGAGTAGGACTTTAAATAAAGCTGAGGAAGTGAGAAGATGGGGTTTCTTTCTTGCTTTTGCAGGTTGTTTGACTTGGATCCTGACCTGTTGCCCCTTTTCCAGTACAACTGCAAGCAGTTTGCCAGCCCTCAGGAGTGCCTCTCTGCCCCTGAGTTCCTGGATCACATCAGAAAGGTGAGAGAGGTGCTATGGCATGGCTGGAGCACAGTCTCCATGGAGGAGGAAGCCCTTAGGCAATGACTTGAGACTGTGGTGTGTCTTACCAGGGAATGCATGGGAAGTTTTCTCCTGAGACAGTAACTGCAGGGGTAACTCTTGCTAGCAGAAGGCACTATTGCCAGGACAAAGTGTCCTACAATAATGGGGAAGGGATGAGGATGCGAGTTGTGGTGGCTAAGAAGCACCATGCTGATTTTCATGCCCTTGTCTGAGAGTGAATTGCCTCCTGTGAAAGCTGGAAGCCTCCTTCTCCTACCTGAGTGAGATGCCTCAAGGAGCTCACTTCTGTCCGGACAAGGACCGAAGCCCTCTGCTTGGCCACATGCTGACCAGGAGTTGGCACAGAGCTGGGCAGTGGGCCAGGCTTGCATGGACCCATTAATGTGGAGAGGCTCTTGGTGCAGCTGCAGAGCCAGAAGGCCCACAGCATCTCTCAGAGAGCCTCTGAGCACAGCCTTGGCTTGCAGATGCCTTCATAAACTGCCTGGCTCCATCTTAAACCAGTTTGGTGGTTGCTTGCCTGTCTTTATTCCTCGTAAGAGGCTGTTTCAGGACTGTGCTCCTCTGATAGCTGCAAGCTTTTTATTGCTTTCCAGCCTCTGTTTGTTGGCAAAGTTAAGTCCATTTTTACTTCTATTATTGCTTTGGGCCGACATAGCTATTTGCTCTTGTTGGAGATAAATTCCCTGCTGAAATTATAGGCACAATTCTATTACCCCTTGGCTTTGCCAAGATAACCATGCCCTGGCTTTAATCTCTTCTTCTAATTTTGTATGTCTGTTCCCTTCATCCTTCATTGCATTTCTCTGTCCTGTTTCCATTTGGTTCTTGATGCTCCTGGGAGACCATGTGGTATGTGCTTTACCAGCCCAGGTCAAGAGACCTGGCTGTACTATCCACCCCATCTCTTCAAATACCTTGGCTGATCTTAGAATCAGAGTGGCCTTATTCACAATTGCACTATCTTGGCAACTCCTAGTTGGAAACTCCAGTCCTAGCAACTTCCCATACAGTTGTCCTGGGGTCCTAGCAGTTGTCACGACTGCATCAGCATTAGGTCTTAGCTTGCAGCTGCTCTGCTATAGGGCTCTTTACCCTCTCTAGGACAGGGTGGTTAGCAGTGCTGCTTGCTGTGCACCTCTGGCAGTGTCCCATGGCAGGATGTGGTGTGTGCTGCTGCCAGCATGCCTCACTGATTTGACACACGGATCACAGTAGAGCAAAGGAAAGCTCAGAGGGCATCTGCTGGGCTGGGAGCGGGTCAGGCTGACAAGGGTGAAGTAGAAGAGTCAGACTGTTCCTCTTACTGTCAATGCCATTCTGCCTTTCTGCTCCTGCACCAGGTGATGCTGGTGATTGATGCTGCTGTGAGCCACCTGGAGAACTTGTCTTGCCTGGAAGAGTATCTCTGCAACCTTGGCAAGAAGCACCAGGCAGTTGGTGTGAAGACCGAGTCTTTCTCGGTGAGGTGTCCTCTCTTGTTCTGTTGCAGCTGTGTTTGTGCACCCCTGCTTGCAGCCCTTGGCTGTCCCCATCCTTATCCTGGGTTCAACTGGCTGGAGACAAAGCTGGTGGCTCAGGGCATCCCACCCAAGGTGCTGATAACCATGTAGTGATATTTGCCCAATGAGGGAAACCCTTGAGGTCCCTTCATTTTCTGTCCTTCCCCAGTAAGTCCAGGGAGAAAGGACAGATGGGTGCACAGCATTTCCACTGTTTGAAGAGGACCATGATTTGGGGCACTGCGGTCTCTCCTGTGACACAGGGCTTCAGGCTCAGCCTTTGCCCTGGATCTCTGCATCAAATGCTCTGGGCAAACCTTGCCACATCTGGAAAAGGGAGCATCCACTTCTCTGTATCTGCACTGAGATGGGGTTGCTGCACCCCAGCCCCTTCTTCCTCCATGGCAGTAAGACCTGAGCATCTTACATATTAAACCCTTGCTTACTCCTCTCCTGCCAGCAAACATGGACAGAAATGCTGGATAATTCAGCAGGGAACAGCAGGTTGAAGAAAAGGTTTCTAACCAACACATGGCTCACTCCTGATACTGCTAGTTTTTGTCCTCTTCAGAGGGAGCAGGATGCCTTTTGTTTGTGGCACCAGCCCTGCCCTCAGTGTGTGGGTGCCCCTGCATGGGGTTGCTCATAGCTCTGTGAGGGGCAGTGCCCTGTGGAGAAGCCTGAGAGGCATCAAGGCAGGCCCTAAGCATCCAGCCTAGGATCTGACCCGCTCTCCTGACATCAGGACATGGCTCAGCTCTGCTGCTTCACTGCTATGCCAAGGGGTGGGGTTGTCTACTTGCATGTGGGAGCCATGGAGGATGGATGTGTCCCTCTCCCCTGGTGTTGCATGTGTGGTATCAGCCCTTGCTCCCTGCCTTGCCCTCCCCAGTTACCCAGTGTGTGGGATGAGGGCCCGCATAGGACAGGGAAGGGGATGACATGGGCTAGCTCTGGGTCCCCTTTGAGCTGCCAGGGATGGGAGGCCTGGTACTGCTAGTGCAGGAGGAGCTGGTGCCCTGCAATGGGAGAAGTCAAAAAAGGTGGTGAAGTGAGACAAGGGACTGCATGTCATCCCCTGCTGCTGAGCTTGACACCTCCCTCTTTGGTTTGCAGACTGTTGGTGAGTCCTTGCTGTACATGCTGGAGAAATGCCTTGGCACTGCCTTCAGCCCAGAGGTGCAGGAGGCTTGGAGCAAACTCTACAGTGCTGTGGTGAAAGCCATGCAGCGCGGCTGGGACACCCACCCAGAAGGGGACTAGATCTTGCCAGCCATCCCCATCCCTGACCATGCAGCAGTCCTGAGCACAGGGAGCACTCACGCCACACTCTGCCTCTCCCCACCTGTCTCTCTCTGTGCACCAGCCCATTGCTGTCTTCACTAGTCACTTGTGCTTTGGGGCTCTCACAGTGATTCAGCCTTGCTTCAACACATCTCCGCCTTTGCTAAGGGCTGGCAGGGTATGTCCCTGAAGTGAGGCCTGGGTGTGCAGCAGCACAGGTATGCCACTCTGTCCCAAGTTCCTTTGGGCTAGTTGGAGCACCAACACCCATGTACCTACTCTGGTTTTTAGCTGGCTCATCTTCCTTCCTCTAACTACCCACCCTAGTTAGGTGACAGCTGGCATAGGCCTCTTGGGCTTATTTGCCCGAGGTCCTATTTGCTGTGCCTGTACTTGCCAGGTCTGGCACTGCTCGCTCCTCCTGCGCTGCTGTGTCTGGTCCAACTGTGGCAGTGATGGATTTGGCTCCCTCCAGGGGCAGGGGCAGAGGCAGCAGAGGTGAGGGCTGGTCACACCATGAGGCTTTTCCCCCTTTCCCTTCACCAACACATCACTAACAGATGGTTAATCCTGGTGCTCTCTTCAGTCTTGCCTCTGCCCTAGATGGGATCCATGGTTTTCCTTGTGTCAGGTTTGCCACAACTCAGTAGGTTTCCTAGGGATGATTCAAGCAGTAGTGTCACATTAGTCTGGGCTGCCAGCTGAAAGGCTTTGTGTTGGTTTGTCCAGTTGGTTTAACCTTAGAGCCACCTGAAATGCAGCAGCAGTGTCTGTTTACTGCTTTGTGTTGAGGAGAATAAAATAAATACAAGGCAAAGATGTCTTAAAATAAAAATGAAGGTTGCAATCATGTCATGGCAACAGCTTCCAGAAATTCTGGCTCTTGGCCAGAGGAAGCATAGCTGGAATCTTTCTGCTGATGCTGTCAGAACCTGGAGTGCTTCCCAGCTGCACGCAGTACCCATGTGCAGAGTTCCTCACCCTCACAGGAATGAGAAGATAGCATCTGCCAGAAGAAATCCCAGAAAATGGCTGAGAAGCAGTACCTGAGGGCTCTGGGGGAAGCTGAGCTTGAGCACTTTAAGGAAGTGTTCATCTTTATGTGGAAGTCACTGTGGAACAGGCAGAACCATGTTTCTAGCCATCACCAGCCCCAGAGCAAGTACATGGAGCAATTTTTCAGTTACAGGGGGATGGACAGGAGGAGTCTGGTGTTGAGGGCTGAGATGGTCCTGTTCTGGACACACATTCCTCCAATACTCAGATATCCTCCAGGCTGGGGCAGGAGAAGGCTCCCAAGCCCATGCCATGGAGGGAATGATGGGTCTCTGATTTCCTGATATCAGGCCTGATGGTAGCCATGGACTTCCAGCAAGCAAAAAGCCTTCCAGCTGTGTTTGGTAGGCAAACTGAGAGATGTTGTAGATCAGGCAGTGAACATCCCCATGTTCATTGTTCTCCCATGGTACCATGTTCTGCTTCTGCAGTGCTACAGTGTGGTGCTGTGCATTCTGGCCTCTGGTTCTCTCCATCTGCTGGATGAGGCGAAGTCCTCCCCATTCTTGCACCCAGCAATGAGGGATGGAGGACCCAGGCCTGGAGGGAGGCACTAGCTGTGATGGCATGATATGGGGCAGGAGGGTTTGGGAATGCGAATGTCCTCTTTGCAACCCTGTTCTGGGGCATCAGCCTTCAGCATCATGGGAGTGTGACACCTTCTGGCTCTGTGTGACAAGTAGGCAGCTGTGTGATGGGTGGGGTGTGGGTGTTACTGCCCCAAACCATCCCTGCTCCCTCTAGCTTTCCCAGCTCCTTGACTTCTCCTTTTCTGTGCCATGTTTTGTGTAACTCCCAAGAGAACTGAACTAGTTTGTGTGCCTCTTA